ATGAGTTTAGGGTCTTCGTTTCAGTCGGTATTATTATATTGAATGCATAACTGTCTCAGTAGTCTAGTGGTCCTGGGTTCAAGTCCCGGGTCGGGCCAAGTTTAAGTACTGAGTTTTTCTGTAAGATATTCTCAATACCATGGCCGATATAGGTCAGGACCTTATTATTTAATGAATGGAATAGGTGATGTACCTACTGAAATCATTCATTACTTCAGTAAGTAAATAATAAAGAATAAAAAATAATAAGTAATTTACTAACAATCATTGAATTATTATAAAGATAATAATTGATTATATATGTAGATGCAATTGACATATCAAGTTTGTTTTGTGAACAGAAATATCGGCTGTCCTCTAACGAAATACAAATAAAATTCATTAAAAATATGAATTTATATAAAGAACATTAATACGATTGATTAAATAATTTAATTTTCACAATAAACATTCGCAACGCGGTGCAATAAAACATGGCGGGAAAACATTCCTCCATTGTCCGCCATTTTGAATGAACGATGGGAACATGGCAACCTTGCTCTGAATAAGAAACTAATGGTTTTTTATTTTATGTAATTGAGTATTATGTGGACGCTTTTACCATTGTCCCCATGCTCCCAGGCTCAGGCGCTGGCTTGCAGTTTTTAAAGGAATTATTACGTAAGGGGAGTTGATAAACTACCTTGTGATTAACATTCTTCTTTTTCTTTTTATTTATTAACTTGAAAATCTGTAGTAAATTGTTTGTTTGTAATAAATTAAAACTCAGATTCGGTTTGTTCAGAGTTCAGACTATCAAATATCGCGTATTTTTCAATATTTTTTGCATTATACTGTTGTAATATACAATGTCAACCACGTAAATGTGCTAGGATAAAACGTAGCATTTGCCCAGTTCACAACTTTTTTATTTGCCAAAAATCATTTCGATTGTTTGCTTCGTTGCATCGCATATTTTGTACTATTATGAGGAAGGAAATCTCTATATTTTATTCATACTAATATTATAAATGTGAAAGTGTGTTTGCTTGTTTGTTTGTCCTTCTTTCACGTCGAAACAGAGTGACGGATTGGTGTGATTTTTTGTGTTGAGATAGTTAGGGGGCTGGAGAGTGGCATAGGCTACTTTTTAGTGCGGGAGATTATCTAATTCCCACGGGAAAACACGTTATAATACAACCCAAAAAATATTTAAGATCAGAATTACTTGAAACTTGGTAGTAATGCTCTCCAATAACATTAAATAAACACTTGTTGTAGTATTTTTCAAAAGTCATCCTATATGGAGCTAAAATAGAAGATGAAAGTTTGTATGAAACCTACCTTTTTAGAGATATTTTGTAGTTTTAACGCGAGCGAAGCCGCGAGTTCTGCTAGTCTAATATATAAAATTTCCATGTCACAATGTTAGTTACCGTACTCCTCCGAAACGGCTTTACAGATTTTTACCAAATTTTATATGCGTATTCAGTAGGTCTGAGAATTGGCTACTATTTTCCATACCCCTAAGTGATAAAGATAAGGGTGGTCCTCCCAGAGCCCACCCCAGGGACGAACCCTAGCGGAGCGAGGGTGAGTCGCTAGTACAATATAAAAGTAAACTCAAAGTTTACTTTAGCGTTAATATTATTTAAACAAAATTAAGAGTACACCTTACTACTACAATAATAAATAATGTATTATGGCCACTATAAATATGGAGTTTGCACAGATGCGGCGTACATTACACATAATACTCGTATGTCAAAATACAATGTTATGTAAATGCTCGAGAGATTTCAAACTACAATTCTAATGGCAGTTTGCTTAACTGGAGTTACGCCACTTTGGGCAGGCATGGGGTTTCTATTCACCGTGGAACTTATATGGGATCTTACTCGTATAACTTATTACACGTTTAAATGGCAAATCTCGGAAATAAAACAAATCCTTGGTAGAAAACATTACTTAATTAAAAATATATATCTACTTTTTAAGTAAATAAACATTAAACATAGATATTCTTCTAAAATACAGACAAATTATTTTAAACTAGTAGAATCTGCGGCTTCGCTCGCGCTAAAACTACAAATAAAATCTCTAAAAAGGTAGGTTTCATACAAACTTTTATCCCCTATTTCAACCCCTTGGGGGTTGAATTTTGAAAAATTCTTCTTTAGTGGATGCCTTCGTCATAAGAGGAATACGTGTGCGAAATTTCAATTTTCTAGCCTTACGAGTATTTAACGGTTTGGCCTGTGCGTTGATACATCAGTCAATCACTTTTGCCTTTTATGTATATAGATAAGTCTTAAATACTCTGTATATAATCATTAATAAGTAAATACGATCGGTAAAATTATTATGTCATGAAAATTGACAATATTGAAATTAAAACAATCCATCTAGCAACACTTGAGGGATAGGCACCTACTTAGTTAAACACCTCCAGGTAAATTTCTAAGAAATTAATTAAATTTCTAAGAAATCTATTGTTAACTGACACGCCGGCAAGTCGGCGGTCGTGGAGGTATTAAAATACAAAAAAGTACATAATTTTTAAAACAATCAACAATTTCTACAATTTTTATTTATATGCTTGATCAAAAAATAAGCTTGAATTCAGGCGATCTAGTTAGTAGGTACATTTAGACTTAGTTTAATAATATTAGGTACATACAAAGTTTCTCTACTATAAGCAATTAGGTTAAAATCGACTTCAAGGTTTCATTAGACGACACAACTAGCTCAGTTTGTAACGATCCTACTTGCTGTGCCAGCGGTCGCGGGTTCGGGTTCCGCTGGGGGATGTTTGTACTCCAATCATGGGTGTTTATATTTTATAATATGTATGTATTTAAACTTATTTATGTGTAATGTATCAACTATCTGGTATCCATAACACAAGCCTCGTAGCTTACCATGAAAAAAATAACTCTTAGTAGCAAGAAGTTAATAAAAGTGTAGTTAACACAATTCCTTATCCAGAGTTAACTGTAGAGAAGTAATAACAGTTTATAAGTAGCGAGAACAATTTATACACTAAAATCAGCGGCTATTATTCAAACCGGCCACCGAAGTAGTAAATATTCGCAGGTGATATTTTACTTTCTCCGCTACCCATCGTGAATACATCATTCAATTTTCCACTTGCCACTTGCCTTGTGTATAAAGGTTACATACCATATAAGGATGGGTGCGTTCCGGAAGTTCTTTAGTAAAATATATTATTGAAAAATTTTATGTCCTTGTTAATTAATTTACCCGATTACGGCAAATCAAAAAGATGAGTTATGTTTCAGCAGTTTCAGCAGTATACATATATATTGTCAGTCTGAAGTCGGAACTCTATATACTGAACGTACCTTAACCTTAAGTTTATAATTGAGCTTAGTCCTGATGATAAATTGTGAACATTTTTGTGTAATTGCACAGATCTACATAAAAATCTTTAGAATTTAACTGACTGTTGTAATTTATACTTTGTAATGTTATAGTTAATTCAATTAGTGGAACAAGAAAATACCAATCATATAATATTTATCGAAATAATTACATTTACTGGTACGTGGGACTTTTAGACTGTAGAATTAATTTAGATTTTCTTCGTACAGAAAACCTAATATTATAACAAAAGTATGGCAATTAGTAGATATTCCATTTTTTTTCTTTTAGTCTCTATTGAGAATGTCATATCAAACACCATATTTTAATCAGAAACAAATGTCATTTTACATCCAAAACGCCCTGCACGGTATTCGAACCCATGATTTTAGTTCTAGTGGACAGTGCTATTTAGGCACGAACTAACCGCGGGCATCTTATTCTCTTTATATAATTGCCATAATTACATAATAGGTATATTACGCTAATAATTAAAAATTACGTAAATAAAAGCACGTAAATATTAATAAGTGCGCGAGATCGGTGAAAGTAAACGAGAGAGTGACCGTGGAGTGTGACGGACGGCAGGTACGACCTTCGTAATACTTAAATCACTTGTTATAGGTACATGATTTTAAATATATTCGCTGTACAAGCATCGTTATAAGATAAGATAAATTAAATTATATTAACAACAGGTGTCTTGAATACGGCCAATTATTTTAAAGCAGTAAAAATTATGTATCGGTTGTATTTGTTTATATGTATTATTTGTATGTATTTATTGCGAAATATAATTTTTTGACAATTATATATACTTCAGCTAAATTAAGGACATGGCTTGAAATCATTTTAATATATCAAAATAATCTAAGTAGAAGAATAAAGAATGAAACAGAAATTGTTAGTTTAAAAAAATCTTTTTAAATATAAAGCAATTTTTATGTATATTTTAGTTATGTCTTAAACTAGTTTATTTATGTCAAAAACTGATTTATCTAGATTTCTTCTTGTAGCGATAGTGATAATCATACAGCCGATTTAAACGTACCAACAGACGATCTATAATTTGTTAATAAAGTGCTCAGCCTAAAGCCACAGAACAAAGAACATAACATAAATTGTAAATTTGCAATCGTAGCCAATATTATAAAGTATCAGAACTCAATCACAATTAAATAACTCTCCGCACATCTGAGACGGAAACGAGACGCGTGAAAGTGTTTTATACCCAATGTATAGAAAGTTAAAGACAATAATAATCATAATTTCGATACAAGAACGCAGCAAGCAACTTATTATGTGCCAACAAAGAAAATTAGATTCCGTTTCTCGTTACTGCACAGTAATTGACGAGTTTGTAAATATTATAGTTATAAATTGTTTCCGTATTATGATCGCAACCGCTTTATCTTAGTAATCAGTAGTCTGTCAGAAGTCCTCAGTATAGAACATTTTCTGAGATCTCTGAAACTGACAGAGACTGACGGTCTCAAGTGGTCTACGACGTGGTTATTGGAGTAACTGCTAAAACACTTGCTAGTTTAATTCGTCATAGAAAATGTTGTAGACTTATTGATCGTTTATTCTATAAATCTTACTGAACTGTATTTTAACATTGTGATTTCTTGTTACAGGAAAATCAGTACAACAAAAATGTCGTGACGAAGCGTTCAAAGTTAATTGGAAAAAAGAAACGGTGCACAGTTTAATTCAGACATGAAGTGAAGACGTTTTTAATTCAAAATGGCGCATTTAAAAGTGACAGTTATAGTGTTGTGTGTGTGTTCTGTGTTTGTGTCTGTGGCGGGTCACGTGGCCCTGACGTATCCCCCGGCGAGGAAGTACGACTTGGACTTCCTGGACAACTCCAGGACGAAGCCACCATGTGGAATGCCTAAAGGTATGTTATTGTAATACACAAGAGTATTTTTCTATACGTTTAAGTAGTGTGCATCATCTAAACATAAATCTGTTTTATATTGGATGTTATTTAACCTATTTCTGTGACCTTTTACTGTGAGGTGGGTCAGGTTAAGTCCATTATGCTGGCCAAGTGCGGGTTGGCGGATTTCACATGTCTTTCGAAAACTAGTTAGATTCTCTCAGATATGCAGGTTATTCGCAAGTATTTTCTTCATTATATAGTATATTGGATGAATTACAGCTATATCTGCAGATCCACTCAGTAAAGTGGAATAAGACTTGGAGTGGCTCAGTCAGATTGCAAAATAACCGGTCTTTTTTTATATATAAGAAAGAGAGAATAAGGAATTTAATTGGATAGCTTTAATGTCAATAGACGAACTAAATACTTGTTAATTAAGATTGATATCAGATAACATTAATCGATATGATTTTCATCTTAAACCTACTTATAACCAGAAATAGTCTAATCAGTGTTTAATTTGCCAATCAATAGCAAATAGGTCACTTGTGGACAAATATTCTTTTTTATATAATAGGTAAATGTTAATTCTCCTTTGGTTTAGAGGTTTAAAGTCGTGGTTGCTCTTGGTATTTCTCTGATAGCAGAGTGGACCGTTAGAACAACCCCGTGGATGTTGTGTCTGCTTCGGCAGATCTGACGCCCATTAAGATGGGGGAGGTTTTGTTGCGTTTTAGTGGGTAGTACTGGCTTTTTTAGCCGGTGAGTCTAACATAACCACGTGTTTGTATACAGGTGGTACCTATGCGTAAATACATTTCCCAACAAAAAAAAAGAAGTTACGACGTAAATTAATATACACTAGCGATGGGCGTTGAATGAACGGACTAGTTCAATCAACCGGTCGACAATGCGTCGACGGTTCGACGGTTCGACGGTTCACGTATTTCAAATGAACTAGTTGAATTCATAGACTGAGACAGTCCGTCTCGCAACGTAAACCAGTAACTATAGATTGTCTAGCGTCTACATCTACGTTAAAGCGTACGTGAACCACAGTCCACGATTTGAACTAGTCGATCGACTAGTCGACGAAAGAAAATGAACGGTCTAGTTTCGTTCACGCTAAATACGTCGACGACCCATCGCTAATATACACAAGACTATGTAGGTTTGTACTAAGAAAAGTATATATTATTATATTTACATTATTAGCATTACTTGTTTTTATTGGGCCTTCTTTGAGCTTTTCTTTTTGTCGTGATTATGAATGTAAAACAGTCAGACTCGTGCATTCTGTTTAATATTTTGAAAGAAATACAATTTAAAAAATATTCTAATGGGCCGAATATGTGTCGGAAATGGGCCTTATGAGCCCATTCAAGTGAGGCTTTCTGACATTAATTTAATTGAAAGCTTAGTGAACTGTTTAAAGGTCTTATTTATGAGTACTTCAGATCTTGTTTTTTTTCATTCATCAAACAAGTGACTATAAAGTAAGGAAATAAATGTAATATATATATTATTTGTAATATATATTTTTATGTAGCTTACATTTATATTGTAAATATATTTTAATAGCAAAAAATATAATTACATACAGTGTCATTTGTAAATTAATTGCCAATTAAATGCTAATGTCGTACAAACGTAGTCTTTACCAGCGGTTAATACTCGTGCTTTCATAGATTTGGATAATTTACTTAGCTTTCTTTTATTTCGGTTTCTCTGATTAGTTAGTTTTTAATTTGGGATGCGTTGAATACAAGTTTCTATAATGATAGAATCGTTAATTGTGATTGATTGATAGGTCTTTTTTTTAAAGTAGTATAGTGCATTCTAAAATAGATAATATACATACATACATACATACATACATACATACATACATACATACATACATACATACATACATACATACATACATACATACATACATACATACATACACATATGATTTTAATTTTACTTCTTATTATTATGTATTACTATCAATTTCTTTTGTATTATGACATTTATCTATAATAATTATTATTATTATTTAATTTTTTGTACTTTTAATACATGAATATTTAAATGCTATGTACACTTATAATTGACATACTTATAAGGTATATTATTATTACATTAATTAATTTGAAAATTTTTCATATGTATGCTGTAAGTGTGCTTTTTACAAATAAATAAATATATATATTTTGCATAAGAATAAATGATCTAAATGCATATACATAGTAAATGTAAAGTGGACTCAATTTTTCGCACTTCGACTGCCATTTGGTCAGTTGTGCGTATATAATATATACATACATATGTAGTATAAAACAAAGTTGTGGCCTACGTCTGTCTGTTTGACATGGTTTTCACTAAACGTAAGAGCGATAACGGAGGAAGGTGTATGTATATAATTTGTAAACCATCCATTGCTGTTAGTTTGTTATCTGAATTCTAGGACTTGTTATTATTGTGTTATATTCGCAATATTAAATTGAACCCATTTTAGTCATTATTTTTTCATGAAATAACTATGTAGATAGATCAGTCTCAAAAAATCCGTGGTAGGACTGTCAAGCCTGAGGAGTGCGACTGGATGAGTACCACCCCCTTATCTATTTCTCCCGCCAAGCAACAATGATTGCATTGTTGTGTTCCGGTTTGAAGGATAAGGTAGCCAGCGCAATTACAGGCAAGAGGCATATCATCTTAGTCCTCACAGTGACAACGCACCTGCGGTTCTGCACTTTTGTAACATAAAACCTAAGTGCATGAACCGTTGGTGTCATGGGTGACACGTACTGCTTTCCATCTGGTGGTCTGTCTGCTCGTTTGTCACTGAATACCATAAAAAAAAACCACCTGTAGATTTAGAATAGCTTGAAATCTACGCTATCTATGTCTTTCTTGATGGTGATGAGATATGTACCTACGTATTAAGCACATATACTGTGCATAATACGTAGGTAGTAGGTAGTTAGGTAGGTAGTAGATAGTTAGGTAGGTAGTAGATAGGTGTGTTGTTACATTACAATATTTTTAACTTTATAAAATATTTTAAAGTAAAAAATATTGTAATGTAATTGGTGCATTTTTCATTTTGTTAATTGTGGGTAGGCTGTCTGTAACAACTATACATTCAAGACATGTAACACCTCAGTCTCTCCCGTGACCATGGATGCTGTAAAGCATTCGAAACGTCGGGAACCAAAAATCAAAATAAATCCGCGAAATAATCCGAAAAGATATTTTTATTTAATAATGTAAATCAAATTAAACTATATTCAAAAAGACTTTTACAATTAGTTTTATAATAACTTTTTACATCTACATCAAATGTCAGTATATAAGTCTGTGAGGAGTTTACCACCTAGGAAACCAGTTCTGCTGAAAAAACTAGCAAGAAACTCAACATTTGCTCTTTCAAAAGTACCTATATTTTATTTAGTATCCTGCCTGTATGAGTCACAAATAGCGTGCTGACCTAGGCCTAGGTCGAAGAGCGTAAACACTATGACTAAGTGTTTATATCGTACAGGTTTTTACTGAGCAAACTTATAAAATATACATTCAAAGGACAGCATGTATTAAATATTTATATTATTTTATTTAATCATTTATTTCAGGCAACAACAAACAGAGGCCCATAGCATAATATATACCTTCATAAAAGTATTAAAACTGTGTAAATTAACATATGTTATTTTCCTTAAGTGTCCAGTAGGTATAAACAAGTATACATACATATACATACATACATACAGTATGTATATATACAATATGTATTTAGGTACATACATTATGTATATTACATATTATGTGCGTTATTGCGTATGGGTTAAGCGTTTTATTTCTTCTTAATGCAAATTCTAAAATAACATAAACATTAAATATTTAAAATTTTACACACAAAAAGGTTTCATTTAAAATAAAAATCATAATTTTACGAAACCTTAAAGGCCTGTAATAAAAAATAAACATCCTTTTCTGGACAAAATTTATTGCGACGATCTCTGAGATGAAAAAGTTTTAGTGATAAATGCACACGACATGTACGAGTATATTTAAGGTTTTAAATAAAAGTGATAACTATCTTTATGTTTAAAATGATCATTTATAATGGAGAAAGAATAAATAAGCATATTCCATAGTTTATTTTATATATAAATTTCATTTTATTTCTTTTGAACTACAAATAGTAGTAGTGGTAGCCCAGTGGTAGAGCGCTTCCTTGGGAAACCGAGTAAAGTGGGTTCAAATCCCGGGTGTCGCATTTCCAACATGATTACCACTTGCCTTGTAAAGGAAAATATCGTGAGGAAACCTGCATGTCTGAGAAAACCTAGCAAGTTTTCGAAAGAAATGTGAAGTCCGCCAATCAGTACTTGGCCAGCGTAGTGGACTATGGCATGATCCCCCTCTTATTGAAGGGAGGCAAACCCCCAGCAGTGGGACGTTAAAAAGGGTTAAGTACATACATACATACATACAAATAGTGTTACATTAACCTAGCTAGATGGTGTATTGATTGGACAAATCCAATGGAGATAATTAAATATCTATACTTATAATAAAATTGTAAATAAGCCGAATCTGTACATTAAATATTAAAAAAAAAACCTTATTGAAATAGACATTATTATCGATACAGAGGCCGAATCTATAGTTTTTAGAATTTTTGTCTGTCTGTCTGTCTGTTACCGCATCACAGAAAAACCACTGGAGGGATTTTGATGAAATTTGGTATGGTGATAGCTGGTTATCCGGGTCAACATATAGGATACTTTTTACCGCGGGAAAATATCTCATTTCTGAGAAAAAGTACAAAAACTGTAATGTAAGAGTATAATATGTAAAACCTAAGAACTTGGTTTTTGGTCATCTGAACGTGAGCGGAGCCGCGGGCAATGCTAGTTACCTATGATTTCCATATAAGTCAAAGGAAACGTATAAGTATTTCGCACATAATTTGCAAGCAGTCGTGGCCGAGTGGTTAAGGCGTCTGACTCGAAATCAGATTCCCTCTGGGAGCGTAGGTTCGAATCCTACCGGCTGCGGAACTTTTTGTTAAAGTAACTTTGTCATGCTATTATTAGATTTTTTGATTTGTCATTATAATATTGTTATCAATTAATTAATTATTTATAAAGAGTTTAAAAAAATATTTTTCCTTTTAAAATCAAATGAGGTCAACTCTATTGTTTTATAAATCTACTTTATATTCTATTTATTCTACATCTCTCTCTCTCTCTCTCTCTATCTATTCTACAACCCTCTCAAAGTCTATATACTTTATATCTTATAACTATTGAAGAGTTCTATTATTCTCCATCGATTATGTTCCATTAGCTCCATAGTCAGATCAGCCCCATGTTTAATTTAAGTTCCAAGACAAGATTTGATTAGATACTAAGTTGCAAGTGAAGCTAAAAATCATGTTGATATTTTAAAGAAATATTATTTAATATTTATGCAACTTGTATAAATATTAAATTTTAAAATCACGCATATATTATGTAATAAACGAAACTATACATACATATATTTAACATACGAAATAAGGGGAATATGAGTATAGAATATTTTAGCATAATGTGATTTTTTTTAATCTATTATTTAATTAGTTTACTTCGCTACATAGAGAGACAAAGATAACTCACTCAGAAGTGCTTTAAGATGCCTTTACAAGCTGAGAAAGCTAGGTATTGTCTAATTGCGATATAACCTGATTATTTTTCTATAAGTAGGTATATTATAGAACTCTGTATCGATAATAATGACTAATTTTAATAATATTTTCCAAAAAATATTTAATGTACAGATTCGACAAGATTTTTTTATATGTATAGATAAAAAAAATGCCATAAAAATACAAAAATGGTAACCAACTTCTATAATCTAACAAATCAAGATGTTTTTTTCCATTTTTATGCCATTTAGGTAAAAAAAAAAATTAAATACCTTGGTTTGAAACCTGTACTTTTGTACCTGCATCGCCTTGATCTCTCCCCGGTCGTAAACACGATGACATACTGCGAGATCAAGGCGCGTAATAATTTACCAATTAATATTCAGATACGTTTATGATTTAGCTATTATACGATTCTAAAAATATAATGCACAAAATACCATAAAATATAGTAACAAATAAAATATTAGGTAACATCGAATTTAAGCCGATATTAAAGGAACATGCATCTGATAAAACTTTCTTAGATAGGTAGAAACAGAGAATATTTGACATTAAAGTTTTGTTTGGATTTTCGGTTCCCGACGCTTGGAATGTTTTACAGTGAAAATGGTCACGGGAAAAAGACGTATCTCCGAAAAGAGTTTTATTTAAAATTGAAACAGTTACGTTTTAATTTAATGTTTAGTATAGATTTCTCAGAGATGAGATATTTTACCGTAGTAAAAAGTATCCTATATGTTGACCCGGATGAACCGGATCATCATACCAAATTTCATCAAAATCTGTCCAGTTGTTTTCTCGTTGACAGCCGATGCGTTCCCAGACAGACGGTCAAAAATTCTAAAAACTAAAAAATATTCATTGTACAGATTCGACTCAGAATTTTATTATATGTATAGAGATGCACCTGAAATCGAAATGTATGGGAAAATTAATTTGGAAGAAATTGTTCAGTAATATTCGAAATTTTTATTAAGGTTATCTTTATTTGAAATTTCTGAAAAATATTTTGTGAGATGATAAATATTGAATAGCAAGAGCAGAACTGATAAATTTCGTAATAAGTGTGGAGTGTGGACGTCACGATGGTACATATTTCGTGTAAATACAATCATATGAGTAAATATAACTTTGGTACCACACTAATTTGTATTTAAAGTGTGTGGAAAATTACATTTTTATTATTATTACATACAAATTATGAGATAATTTTTATTACTAGACAGAATAAAAGAATTTTCACCATTTATATCATTTTTAACTAGGGATTTACCCTCGGTTCGTCGGGTGCCACCACGATGGCAGGTTTTAATTTTTTTCAGCGAAACCCTAATCATTTCCCTAAAATAATAGTAATCTAACTTATAACATCAACTGTCCGCCAGAGAAAGTCCTATCAAAATCGGTCCAGCCGTTTCGGAGATTAACCGGAACAAACAGACAGACAGACAAAAATCATAAAAAATGTGTTTCTTAAATAAGCACCTATATAATTTCATAAGTTTTTAGTAAAAAGTTGTTATTTTGACATATTTACAAACAGAAAGTTTAATTTCATTTATCTGTATAAAGAATTTATAAAACAAAATCTAATGTAAAAAACCTAACATGTATCTAATGTAAAAATATTATCTATTGTGTTGTGAAAAAAATGCGCGCGCATTCCCTTAACTCCAAATGTTGTTTCTATCATATTACGTCATATGACCGTGTGGCCTAATGGATAAGGCGTCGGACTTCGGATCCGAAGATTGCAGGTTCGAGTCCTGTCACGGTCGATTAATATACATTTTGCAAGGCTTTTTTTATTTGCACTTGATTTATATTTATATTGATTCTTTGATAACTATACATATTTTTGATGATATCTCGTTTCTTTTTATTACGTTTATGTACTTTATAATATATTTAAAATAAAAGAATAATAAAGAGAACATAAACATGTACATAAAAAGTATATAATATTTTTATTTTAAATTTAAGTGGTCAGATTTTATTTCCTTATACCATAAGCACAGTACTTTAGGCAGGTTGGCAGTTTTGTGAAGACTTAAAATTTACAAATTCTAACAAAGTTGAATATCCAAACTGAGCTTATTTTATTATAAAGACTGTCAGTGACATCTATACGCATAATATTAAAATCATAATTCTCAGAAGCTGTAACTAGATGGCGCTTATTTGTTTTATGACTTGTGATAGATGTATAAAAGTACTTTGGTTAAAAAAAAATATTGGGATTATGTAAAAATTTGGTTTTTATTTTTGCAGGTTCAATAAAGACGACATTTTTAGCGGGGTCCACATTCACAGTGCATTGGCATTTGGCGTACGCACATCGAGTAAGTTATTTCATATTTTGCACTACGTGTATAAGCCCGGCTAGCTCAGTCGGTAGAGCATGAGACTCTTAATCTCAGGGTCGTGGGTTCGAGCCCCACGTTGGGCGAAATATATTTTTGCTTTTTTTTAACTTGTTTTTGTTACGAATTGCTTAAATTTGTGTCACAGTCCAAATTGTTCAAAATGTTAAAAAATATTATTAAAATTATGTTATTTAGCGGAATTATAATAGAAATGATAAAGAAATATTTTATAAGTCAATATCAAACATTCGTTATATTCATAGATTTATGCATACATTTTATTAGTAAATAGTAAATATATAGATTTAAATTTAAAATTATTATAATAATTATTGTTTGTTTTTTGTTTCAGGGAGGATTTAGTTTAAGAATATTGGATTATTTAGAACGACCTTTACTAGATTTGACGCCCAGAGCCGGTGGTTCAGAATTTGTTCGAGATGATACTACGTGAGTCTTAAAATTAATAAGTATCAACATTTATCAAACAGATAAAGATTTGAAATATTATTCTCAAATATTTTATTTTTTATTTTTGAACGACTTCATGAAGGAGGTGTTTATTTTTGAGGAATTTTTTTTAATACTTTTTTTTAAAGAAAACAATCTTCAATTTTTTTTTAATGGTCTCATATGAATTTCAACAAATTCCATTTTTAAGCGAATTTTGTAATATATCCTCATATTGAAAAAGGTGATTTTGATATGTTTTACGCGCTTTAGAAGGAAATTGTGAAATGTTGATATTAGCCGGAACAAACAGACAGGCAGACGAAAAATTAAAAAAATATTTTTTATTATTTTTAATGTACTTACATATAATCTATACATCTATACAGATAAATAAAATTGAAGTATCTGTTTGTAATTTCAAAATAACAGCGTTTTATTAAATGCTTATACGGTAGAAATTATATACGGTACTTATATAAGAAAAACACATTTATTTTTTTATTTTTGTCTGTCTCTCTGTTTGTTCCGGATGATCTTTGAAACGGCTGGACTGATTTTGACGAGACTTTCACCGGAAGATAGCTGATGTTATAGGGAGTGACATAGGCTACTTTTATTTTAGAAAAACAATTAGGGTTCCGCTCAAAAAAATTAAAACATACGAGGGTGAGTCGCTAGTGTATAGGTAGTACTAATATATGGATTGTGTATTCCACAGTGCTCAACAATACGAAGTGCGGCTGCCGAGCGACTTCACGTGCGAGAACTGCACGCTGCAGCTGCAGCGCGAGGCGGCCGAGTGGGGCGCCAACTACCGCTTCTGGAGCTGCGCCGATATTGATGTGGTTGCACGTTCGTATTTTTATGATACTTTATTTTTTTATATTTATCATCTCCCTGCCCATTCCCCAAATTACTAGTCATCTCATCATTCACCCCTTTCTCTTTCATGTCCTGTCTCACACAATCTATCTATATTGTTGTTATGTATATACTAAATAAGATATATATAATTTATAACTGAATACTTTTTTTTTAATAGTTTTACACTAGGTTGTATTTTTTAAATTTAATCATAAGTCAGAGATTCCTAAGTTATTGTTAATTTTTAATGGTAACTATTAAGCCGAATTCTTGCAAATTCGTTTGACTAGAAACCTAATTTTTTTTCCTACAAAAATATCTATAGTGTCATCCTAAAGACTTAATGTGTTAGGTTGGTTATCGTGTCTCGCTCTCTCGTGTGATGATCGGCGTTGATAGGTCAACTAGCATTGCCCGCAGCTCCGGCCTCGTTCAGATAACCAAAAAACAAATTCTTAGGTTTTACATAATAGTATACTTTTACAACGAAGTTTTTGTATTTTTTCTCAGAAATGAGATATTTTCCCACTACAGATTCAACTTAGTTACAATTTTATTATATGTATAGATATGTGGGTATGTAATTACTATGAAACGTTTCCGGCTGCGACTGTCACGGTCTTAGACTGATTTTCTTCTCGCGTCGACGTTCAGCGCTGACCGTCGGTGACCGATCAGCGCCGACGAACTACGCGCCTGTACTAATAATAATATAATCTATTCGTGTACTAAACTTCATCCAAATCTGTCCAGCCGTTTCAACATGCGCTACAAACGTACACATATAAATGTATGTATATATAACAGCGATCCAATAACCCGTCTCCAGGCAAAGACTACCACGAGACGTGTTCGGGGCACGGCTTCCACATCCTGGGCCGCTGCAAGTGCCACAAGTCGTACAGCGGGCCCAAGTGCCAGTTCGCGGAGGAGTGCGCCGAGGACGGCGACTGCGGCCTGCGCGGCAAGTGCGTGGCGCTGCGCGGCGCCGGCGCGCCCGCCAGGACGTGCTACTGCCTGCACGGCTTCTACGGGAAGGGGTGCAACAAGAGTGAGTCAATTGAAAGGTCTATAGAATCGTTGTGCTTTGAAACTCGATGAAACGGAAATGCGACACTAGAAAGAGACAAACACATCAATATATAGGATAGCCGGCGATTTATTATTAATTTAATATTGAGGTATATGCAACGACTACTCAGCCTGAGTAGTCTTTGGGTATATGTATACTGCAATAATTACACGTTACATTAAATTATATTAAAAGTACATACGAGTATTTACTAAGGTATTTGTTAAAAACACTAAATCTTCACCACATTTACACCTATTATATAAACAAATATACATTTTCAGAGGCACCTTGGAAAGACAAAAACATAAACTTTGAACAATACTCCAAAAAGCAACTATCTAAAGATTTCGCTCTCTACTGGCGGGTCATCAAAGATGAAGCTGAAATAGAATTCGTCATGATCGTCAATGGGACTTCTTATGCCGGTGAGTTTTTCTAACAATATACCTACATTTAATATTAACAGACATTATATAAGCATTCACCTTCTAGATTATGAGCGAATTAAATAATATATTACTTGCTACTTACGTTTTAAGGTTTAGTATAGGTTTCTCAGAATGAGATATTTTCCCGCAATACAAAGTATCCTATATGTTGACCCGGATAACCAGCTATCATCATACCAAATTTCATCAAAATCGGACCAGTGGTTTTCTCGTGATGCGGCTACAAACAGACAGACAAAAATTCTAATTACCTATAAATTCGGCCTCTGTATCGATAATTGATTTAGATGAAGATTTTCCAAAAAAATATTTAATGTACAGATTCGACTCAGAGTTTTATTATATGTATAGATTTATACTCATTAAGGAAGTGATTACAATTATATTAATATGGTCTATAATCGTATTGGTACCAACATCATAAGTAAATGAGAAAACTGAAAAGCTGCAGTGAAGTAGCTACTTTGTACAGTGTAACGGCTTAACTAATTTTAATCAGCTTGCTTATAGCTTGCTTAAAGGATAATAAATCTTTGTGCGAAAAGATCCGTGGTTAGTTATTAAATATTATAAAATTACTTAATTACTATTAAATATAAAATTTTTAATAGCCTTATTTTATCTTCAATAGAAATAAAGGCTCTGCATTAGGTATATTATTTATAAAAAATCTATTTCTAAAATATGAGTATCGAACTTATAAAAAAACTTACTTACAGCACTCGGATGGAGACCTAAAGGGTTGAAAAAAGAATGTAGGAACTTCCCAGTTCTCGGACCACCTCTCACTGGACGTAAGTGTTTTTATGTATATTTCTCTAAATGCCTTAGTAGCTAGGTGTAGTGGCTAGTATGTGTACTACAAATCTGGAGGTCCTAGGTTCGATTCCCGAGTCGGGCTGATATTTAAAAGTTTTGTTATTGAATATTTCTGTTAAGAAAATTCTAGTAACAGGATTTCTAAGATTCCTGGATTTGGGAAGTTGGCGGTGTGTCGCCCTCGTGCCGAGGTAGAGCATGTAAGTCCATCGGTCCTGATATATATAAAACTTAGCGCTAGTTATTTATTACTTAATTTTATTAACCCTACAAGCTAACGAAACTATTAAAGTAACTAAAGTCATAATCAATTATTAGCAGTATAATCAAAGATGAATAATAATTTGTCAAATATTGGTATTAAAAATCAGTTATCACCTTTTTCATATTTCATACATCAGCAAGTACACAAGCTCCAGAACCGCTTCCAGAACCTGAACCAAAATTCGAATCAAATTCAAAACCAGAACCAGAACCAGAACCGTCTCCCGAGCCAAAATCTGAACCAGAACCAACACCAGAACCTAAGTCAGAACCAGAACCAAAACCTGAACCAGAACTAGAGCCAAAAGCTGAGCCTGAACCAAACCCAGAACCAACATCTGAACCAGAACCGACATCTGAACTAAACTCAGAACCAAAATCACAGGATTTAAATATGAGTGACAATAGAAACAAGAGAGTTGCGATGCATACTTTAGATGGTTTTGATTTTAAAAACCTAGGCAATGACGTGACTGTGAAAACTAGCATTTCATATAAAGTGTCGAGCTCGAAAGGTAAAAATATTACCTACATATTTTTTTATTATTATTAATGATCAAGTAATATGATGATTGAAATTAATATTTACTAATAATCATTTATAACATAATTTAGTTAGTTTTTTAGTGTAACTTAGTTTAAATTACAAAACAATGAATTAATTCGTAATTATTTATGCTCCCAAAGGTCGTAAGAAACGTGCTGCTTCTGAAGTAGACAAAACAAGTAAGTATAGTACCAAACAAATTATATAAAAGTAGAAAATTTGTTTAACACGAGTGCTAAAATCCACAGAAATGCTGAGCGACACTCAGACTTACTTACATGCAAACTAACTTTGTATAAACACCGTGTGTATAGATAATTTTGCATGGTTACGTTATTTTTACAGATGAAACAACTATAATAGACAGTGAGACAGAAAATTATCCTTCCCCAGTGCCTGAACCCGTGTCTGAACCAAAGTTAGAACCTAAGTCTAAAAATAAGTCCAAACCAAAGTCTAGACAGTTAACGAACGACGACGATTCCGATTTTGAACCCCAAATTTCACCAGAACCCAGTTCAGAACCTGAACCGACATCTGAACCTGAACCGACGTCCGAACCTGAACCTTCCCCAGAACCAAAATCAAAACCTGAACCATTCCCAACATCCAAATCCGTTCCTGAACCCTCTGCTGAACCAGAACCTTCAGCAGAACCAAAATCTGAACCTGAGCCTTCTCCAGAGCCAAAATCTGAACCTGAACCATCACCAGAACCAAAATCTGAACCTGAGCCTTCCCCAGAACCAAAATCTGAACCTGAGCCTTCCCCAGAACCAAAATCTGAACCAGAACCTTCTCCAGAACCTAAATCTGAACCTGAACCCTCACCAGAACCAAAATCTGAACCTGAACCCTCACCAGAACCAAAATCTGAACCTGAGCCAGAACCTTCTTCCGAACCCGAACCATCTCCTGAACCAACATCTGAACCCTCTCCCGAACCCGAACCCAATACAGAAGTGGATTCAGAAAATCTGCTAGTGAAGGGACTTACCGAAGAATCAGGTAAAAGCACAAGCTTTGCTGATAATATATTACATTATATCAGATTTGTACGAAAAAGATATTTAAAAAAAAAAACAATTAAAAAACATAAATACAATTTTGGTGGTTTAAAGATTATTGGAAATGATAAAACTGATATTGTGTTTTATATTAAAATATCTATATGTTTATATTAAAATCTAATTGTTGCATGTTGTTTACTAATGTTTATTTATATTTCTGTAGTACATATTTAATTCTTCCTATCAATATATTTATTTTATCTATAGTTTATTAAAAGTAAATTATATTTTATGATATTCAAATCAAAAGAAAAGCCTTTGTATAAAAGGACAAAAATGAGCTTTTTAAATATTTCCAATTCAATGTAGAGCGAGAATTTATAATTTTTTTAAGTTAAAATTGATTTTATGCGATTTTTGGCTTTGTAAGTTAAGGTTTGATTGAAATTTAATATATTTTTTTCAAACATATCTATTTTTATATATGTATCTCGTAGATACCCTGTTGCTTTGATAGGTATACATTTTTCTTTTATATATTTTTCATTATCAATATATTTATCTATTTTTATGTATTTTGCTATGTCTGCTTCGCATGCTTTGGGGTGTTGTTTCTGTAATCCCTCCTTCTCCTTATATCTCCTTCTTTCTACTCTCTTCTCTTCTACTGACGTGTTCTTTATAATTTTCTACTTCCAGACTTACCTTGGATGGATATTATTGTACAAAGGACTTTATAATTTTCATTTATTTAAAGGAATTATTAATATTAGACCTTTATTTTATGTGATACTAATAATAGTGTATTTGTTACAAAATTTCTATAAAATTCATTATAAATATATACATATACTAACTGACGGTAAAACATAACTCCCATATGATTTACAAACATTCAGACTTATAAGATCTTTAAAATACTTCACACTTTGAGAAAAGCAAAGGTTAGATAGTCTTTATGATAACAGGTTTTTGAAGAAGCTTTATATTTAATGACTTAAAGTTCATTATATCATTGGTAAATAATTATTCTTATTATTTTATTTACTCTATTATCTTTCTATATTAAACTTATTTTTGTAATCTCTTTCAATAATTTCATTTACTATCAATTAAAAAAAATTATGCATGACAATGGAGAATTTTCATGATTTTTTGTACCTAAAAAAAATGAAATTTTCATCAGATATTTTTTCTGAAAAAAAACATACAGCTGTATTGAGAACCTCCACCTTTTTGAAGAAGTCGGTTGAAAAAATGACAAAAAGTTGCCTCGTTAGTATGATATTATGTGACGTCATCACACTCGAATGCATTATATATATTTTATTTTTATAACAAATACGTAATACGTCATAAACATATAACGCTACTATTGAAAGTAATTCCTGTAGGTATAAAATAATGATTGTATTAACTAAAAACAAACATTACTACCTACTACATTTATTTCTTCTACAAAATAAATGCTCAACATTAAATGGGCCCTTATTAACCGACTTCCAAAAACGAGGAGGTTCTCAATTCGTCGGAATCTTTTTCTTTATGTATGTCCTCCGATTACTCGAAGACGCCTGAACCGATTTGAAATTTTTTTGTTTTGTTTGAAAGGGTATACTTCCCAGGTGGTCCCATGTAAATTTTATTGTTCTTATCGTTCTTATTTTTATCTTTCTTCCTACAAATTACCTGCTTATTACATCTACTCTAAAAATATAAAAATAAAAACCTAAAAAACTTCCAGGCACTAAAATGTAAGAAATAACTAAACGGAGGTTTTCATTTAGAATAGATACTAATCAGATATTTTCGAAGTCGGTACCAGCGGACAATATTTTAAGATATGAATATCTAATAGGTAAATATGTATTTTACATATCAAATTATATCAGATTTCCTATGCGTCGGCTGGCACCGACTTCGAAAATATCTGATTAGGTATCTATTTTGAATGAAAACCCCCGTTTAGTTATTTTTAGTTTTTATGTACATATCATGTATGTTTTTTACGAAGTAAATATGATAGTAAATAAAATTTAAAACACATGACATAACACTACTATCACACTGAAACTTTATTACTAAAAATGTGTGTAAAATAATTGCATTCACAAAAAAAAAACACTAACTTTCAGACATTAAAAAAATCGACTTCCAGACATAAAAAAGTAATAACCGAATTCTAAACATTAAAAAAAAAAGAAATAGAGTCTCTTTTTTGGAAGTCGGTTAAAACCAAATAATACTAATATTACACGTACGGTAATGTTATATACAGTATTCCATCTTCATACAAACGGTCGGAAATCGAGTTATATCTACGCGCGACGCGTTCCGTATACACTCTGCAGTCGGTTGACAACCACGCGGGGCTGCCACGTCGTGTAGTTGAGTAGTAACTTTTATAATTGGATACAAAAATAAACATTTTATTCCTCCTGTAACTTCGCTAATGTCAAACAAAAAAGTATCGAGACATCGTATGTTTTAAAAATAAAAATTAATTAAATAAAAAATAAAAAATTAAGTATTTTTAATTAAACTTTTTATCCGAATGTGGTTTCTTTATACTATTAAATTTAACAATAAAGCTTTTCTACGTCTCAGTCGAGGTGCAAATATTTTTCAATCCCTTTATAAGGGTTTTACCACACTTGTAAATTTGAGTTATTAATTGAATCTACTAAGATAAAAAAATATAATATTTGAAGTCACAAAACTAGAAAGAAACCCAAGGAAGTAGATGAAATTAAAATACTGTCCGGCGGGCACTCGGGCAGCCCTGTCGCGTGGTCGCGTGCCGCGCGGCTGTAGGTAATTATTACAAGGACGGGACCGAGTCGCAATACTGTGTGTATAACATTACCGCGGCACGCGTGTCTCCCTCGAGACACGCGCGCCAGTAAGTGAGGCCGCGTCTGGCGCAGGCTACTTCCCGGCGCACGAGTACGCGCCGCGCCACGACTTCAGCGCCATGGACTGCGCCGACGTGGTGGCGGGCGCGGCGCGCGGCGCCTACCACCGCGTGCTGGACTACTACACGCGCGACAGGTGACGCACCCACCACCCACCACACACATTATTTTGTATACACGAGCGAGGTTCTTGGCGCAAAAAAATATGTTTTTCTTTGGGCGTTTGTCTTTTATGCTCGCTTCCGACTGTCATACAAAATTTTATTTTACAATCAGAAAACGACTATTGGATTGCCGAATATAATTTTATCTGCCACGAGATGTCTATATTACTTTAATTTTGCATCCAACTTAATATTTTTTACAACCCTTATTTACCGCATTTGCTTTATCTAAATACTAATTTTTACCCATAAAAAGGCAAAAATTTTTTGTTTGTTTGTTTGAACGCAATCTCAGGAACTACTAATCCGATTTGAAAAATTCTTTTTGCATTCTATAGCCTTATATATCGTATAATATATTATGGTCTATCTATACTATACTAACTGTTAAAACATATCTAGGGACGAACCCGAGCGAAGCGATTGTGAGTCGCTAATGACAATAAATATTAAAGCATAAGAGGTAATAATATGATTTTTTGAATATCAGATCGACTCCGCGAGTGGACACGTTCTGGGGCGGACACGACGACATCACCGCCGCGTCCGGGTTTGAAGAGAACAATGTCACTACCATTATGTTTAGAAGGAAAATTAAGGTGACTCATTCTTTGTTTTATATTTCTTATGGATGTATTATCTATCTATACATATAATAAAATTATTGTAACTAAGCTGTATTGTAATCTGTACATTAAATTTTTTTTGGAAAATCTTATTGAAACAAACATTATTATCGATATAGAGTCCGAATCTATAGTTTATAGAATGTTTGTCTGTCTGTCTGTTACCGCGTCATGACAAAACCACTGGACAGGTTTTGATGAAATTGGTATGATGATAGCTGGTTATCCGGGTCAACATATAGAATACTTTTTACCGCGGGAAAATATATCATTTCTGAGAAAAAATAAAAAAACTGCATTGTAAGAGTAAACTAATATGTAAAACCTAAGAATTTGGTTCTTGGTCATCTGAACGCGGGCGGAGCCGCGGGCAATGCTAGTGTAATATATAAAATCTTTTTATTATAAAATGTATTGCTGTCTGCCCGGCCGTGTGTATTCTCGTCGTTTTATTTATTTAGAACTAGCCGAATGTATTATTTAAGTAATATTATTAATTCACAAAGATGTTTGACATGATGACGAAAACAAAATTGAATTATTGAATTTGAAAGAAAAAAAATCTTCGTAAATTTTTATCACCAATTCTTTACATCACAACATTTTTTTACAATAAAGCTTATTTTTCTTATAGTATTAAATGCTATATATACAACTATGCTACCAAATATTTCCTTAAACAGATTTTTTAAAGCTATCCGTATAAGTAATATAAATGTGAAAATAACTTGGACGTAGGCTACCTTCGATTCCTCTTATCATGCGAGCGAAGTCGATGGCAAAAACTAGTTAAAAAATAAAGAAACCCTCCCCAGGCAAAGGAGCCCACCGACCACTCGTTCGTGGACGACGCCATGCACGTGATCTGGGCGCGCGGGCAGGAGCGCGGCCGCGCCGGCTTCTACCAGGCGGACGACCTCAAGTACCACGGGCACGGCGCGCAGCGCGGACTGCTGCACATCAACTTCTTCGGTGAGCTGTGCTTTGGCTCACGCGTACACACATACATACATACATACATACATACATACATACGTACATACATAGTGACCGAATATTGATTTTAATGGGCTCAATTAAAAACAAAGTATAAGCAGCATAACATATGAATCCATACAGTAGCTCACTAATTTTAATAGAAATGCTGTAAAGTGCAAGGGTTTGTAAATGATTTTAATTAATATAGTGAATTGTTTTTGTGTCAAATTATAGTTAGGTTCGTCAACCCTAATGTCGTCTCCCAACTATAAAATAAAGGTACGCATGACAATTGGGAGCGTCGCACGTGTCTCACTCCGTACCATTTCTCTGTAGAGGCCTCCAGTAGTTCATAAAATCTGATGACAAGGAATGCCCATTATATATTATGTAAGGCCCCGTCATAACAGTGCATAGAAACTCTTTATTACTTATGCTCGCCTGGTACTTGTGATGTCGTCGCGCGAGGTGCTCTCAATAAATAATAAAAAGTATCGTGACGTGACGGTTACAATGTTACACTACAAAAACCTGCACGTCTAGCATGTCTGCACGTAGTCTAATATTACGGACTGCCTTCCGAGTCGGTGGGAGATTCCTCACCTACTTACATACTGTCATTTAAATTTTCTTTCAAAATGTAAAAACTGACGATTCAAAGGTGTTAGTAAAAGTCTATTTGAATAAAGCATAATATTTTTTTAGCATCATCATTGCTCATCATTTTAGCATGATCATGATTGCTGTAAAGCATTCGTGACGTCGAGATCCAAAAATCAAAATAATCTGCGAAAAAATCCAAAAAGATAATTTAAAAAGATTAAAGATAAAATGAATAAAGTATATCTATTAGTGATAGCCCCGTGGAAACGTGCTCGCTTGGAAAACCCAGTGAAGCGAGCCAAACGCCGGATCTCGCACCTCTGATATTTTCATGTGCGAACCATTTCCAACATGATTACGTCTTACCTTGCGGTGAAGGAAAACATCGTGAGGAAATCTGTATGTCTGAGAGAACTTAACAAGTTTTTAAAAGACATATGAAGTCCGCCAACTCGCACTCGGCCAGCGTGGTGGACTATGGCCTGACCCCCCCTCGTATTGGAGGGAGGTCCACCCCCAACAATGGGACGTTAAAGAAGGGCTGAATACATAGTGTTGGTTGTACTCTTGTCATTTTAAATGTTTAGTCTAATAAACACGTTTGAAGTAGACCCACGTTCTTTCTATTGCACCCCAAACCACCAAGCGATATTCAACCTTAACTTCATATACACATAGTCTTCTTCTTTGTCTTCTCGCACAGCTTTTTCTGTACATAGGCAGCAATACCCGTTGTACGTGAGCTTGTGCTTGTTTTTGCGCTATTCTTTCCATCCTAGAGCGTCCCAGTAGTCTAACAGGTTGTCGGTATCCTGGAAGATTTCCGGGAGCGATCTTTTGGAGCCGAGATTTTCTTCGCGTAAATGTTTCAGTTCACTGCATTCTAGCAGAATGTGAGCTGGTGTTTCATCATCTTGGAAATACGCTCTGCACAGAGTGCCGTCCGTGTGACCTATATTGAAAAGGTATTGATTGAGATGGCAGTATCCTGTTATAAGTTCCACCATCGTTTTAGTTTAGGTCTATCAGGTAGTTTGTTGTTTGTTAGGTTTGGGAAAGGTTTCTTTTGATAGACGACAGACAGTCCGTACCTGCCTTCCATATTATATCAAGTGTTTTGTTAGTGTGATCCTGTAACCATGATTTATGTCGACAGTAGGAGGTATATTGATAGTATAACGTCGGTGCCCGCAGAGGAGGCCAAGCCGCCGTCGGCGGGCGGCGTGACGGCGCTGGCGGGCTGCGGCGCGCAGTGGGCGCGGCCGGCGGGCTGCGACGCCGGCGCCGGCGCCTGCGCCTTCGTGGCGCAGTGGCGCTACCTCGGCCGCGACAACGTGCGCTTCACCATCGTCACCAACGAGACCAAGTCCTGGACCGGCATCGGCTTCAGCAAGGATAAGAAGATGGTGAGCTTTATTATCATTTCTTTTAAATTAAAATAGCTTTTGGATATAGTCACTGACGAGATCGAGACCTGGACCGGTATCGACTTCAGCAAGGGTAAGAAGATGTTAATGATGAGTTTCATTAATCCTTTTTATAAATAAAAATAGTTTTTTAATCACTAAAAATAGCTAAAGGAGTCTTCGATTCTATTATATTTAATATAGGTAATGTAATACGTTAGTATTTTTTTTATCTAGTAAAATAGACCAAATGCTTCTAATTTTAAATACAATTAGTTTCACTCGTCATTTTTAATCTTTTTTTTGTTTTTTATATTTATGTTATTTTAATCATTTATATTTTTTTTGAACGGAACCCTAATTCTTTTTCTGAAATAAAAGTAGTCTATGTTGCTCCCTATAACATCAGGTATCTTCCAGTGAAAGTCCCGTAAAAATCGGTTCAGCCGTTTTAGAGATTATCTGAAACAAAAAGACAGACATATAGATAAAAAAATAAAAAAATGAGCTTTTCTTATAAGTACCGTATATGATTTCATATGCATTTAGTACAACGCTGTTATTTTGACATTACAAATGGGTACTTCGATTTTATTTATCTGTATAAATGAAGTGATAGCACAGTGTTTGTCCCCTTGCCCACAGTCGCAGACGGACGCCGTGGTGGGCTGGCTGGACCCGCGCAGCGGCCGCGTCTTCCTCATGGACGCGTGGCTCGGCGGCTACTCCGCGCCGCGCCTCGACGCGCGCCAGGACGTGCGCCGCGCCGCCGGCCGCCTGGTGGACGGCCGCGTGGAGATCAGCTTCGAGCGGCGCCGCGACACCGGCGACGAGAAGGTGTGTGACTTGGAGGGGGAAAATTCGATTTTTCTCCCTGTAAAACCAATCGATTTGCAAAAAATCGATTAACTAAAAAATAATCGATTTAATCGAACTGTCCGGAAAGTTACATTTTTTAGTACATAATAATAAAATGACCAAGTCGATAACTAAAACAACAATCTGTTGGTTTTAAAACTGAAAAACAAAACAAGTTTTTTTTTTCAACTTTAATAATGAGAAAACTGAATAAAATTATTGCTACTAATTTTTAGTACTATTTAACATTTTATTGAAATATATATAAAATAAAACGATAAAATGTATAATTTAACTACATTGGTTTATCCGAACAACGCAACCCTTACCTTTTTTACTTTAAAAAAAGAGAATAAGTAATATAATCGATTCATTAAAAATCGATATTAATCGATTTTAATGAATCGATTATATTACTTATTTTCTTTTAGTGAATCGATTATTAAAAATCGATCCTTTTTTTCCCATCCCTGTTCTGTGGCGGAACACATTCCTAATGCAAATCTACTTACGTAGAATAATAAAAATAATTTTGTATCTCCTTTACTCTCCTCAATAAAATTGTCAGCGGTAGTAGGTATTCACGGATTTACACATTGAATTTGATTAAATTTAAAATGTAAAATTGACGATTTAAAAGTGCTTTTCAAAATCTATTTGACAAAATGTATATTTTGATTTGATTAAATTTGGGGCGTATTCTGGGTGTTACTTACACTACGTTAGTGTAGCATTTTTATACTGATATTAATAGTATGTATTTAGTAAATTTATTATAAACCATATATAACTAGCGACTCACCCTCACTTCGCTCGCGTCCGTTTCCTAAGTACGTTTTAACGGTTAGTATGTAATACAAATCTTTGAATTTCTCCGCTCTTCTGTACTATAATATGCATGTATTATATCCGTTGCGTAGTTTTAAAGATGTAAGCATACATAGGACAGACGGACAGCGGCAAGCGACTTCGTTTTATACTATGTAATGATAACAAAGCAATACGACTCTTTCCCAGGACCTGGCGTTCACGGACCAGCAGTGCCTGTACATGATGTTCGTGACGCAGGGCGGCGGCTTCGACCCCGTCAACAAGCGCACCAGCAAGCACGCCGCCGTGCCCGTCGTGACAGACGACCCCGTCTGCATACGCGCCTGCGGCCCCGGTAATCCCCTGGCATGCTCTAGCTTACTGCACTTGTCTCGACACCACTCCTCAGTCCTGTGGGTTCTCTAGCTTACTGCACTTGTCTCGACACCACTTCTCAGTCCTCTGGGTTCTCTAGCTTACTGCACTTGTCTCGACACCACTTCTCAGTCCTCTGGGTTCTCTAGCTTACTGCACTTGTCTCGACACCACTCCTCAGTCCTCTGGGTTCTCTAGCTTACTGCACTTGTCTCGACACCACTCCTCAGTCCTCTGGGTTCTCTAGCTTACTGCACTTGTCTCGACACCACTCCTCAGTCCTCTGGGTTCTCTAGCTTACTGCACTTGTCTCGACACCACTCCTCAGTCCTCTGGGTTCTCTAGCTTACTGCACTTGTCTCGACACCACTCCTCAGTCCTCTGGGTTCTCTAGCTTACTGCACTTGTCTCGACACCACTCCTCAGTCCTCTGGGTTCTCTAGCTTACTGCACTTGTCTCGATACCACTCCTTAGTCCCCTGGGTTCTCTAGCTTACTGCACTTGTCTCGATACCACTCCTCAGTCCCCTGGGTTCTCTAGGGTGTTATGATTTGTTACTGTGTGTCTTGGTAAATATTGCACCTACTCCTCTTTTATCACGTAAGGTGCCTTAAGGGTTTGAAAGGGTATAGCTGTCTAAGAAATGGCTACGATGCCTATCATTAGTAAAAAACACATTCGCATTTTTCATATGCCTGGTAAATCTGTATGTTAGGATTAGTTATTGTCACTTTTGTTTTACATCCCTAGTGAATGGTTTTAGGTTTAAGGATTGAGGAATTAATAATATTGTATTTACTAGTATGTACATATATACATATATCTTTGTAAGTGATAAGGATTCTAAGAGAATGTTAGAATTTTATATAAGAATGTCTTTAGGCTATCCAGTTTGGCTTTATTTTGTGTTTTAACAACATCAGCAAAGAATCGATATAAAGTATTGCATATACCAAACCAACACCCATAACTTATTAATCAGATCTCACCAATAAAGATGTCTCACCTCATTTACAAAATAAAAAACTCAATATCCACACGTAACCAACCCAGAGTCGAGCGAGGACGAGACCACGACGGAGGCGGCGGCGCCGGGCGCGAGGAGCTACGGCGTGCTCGTGCGCATCACGGAGCTGGCGGACAGCTTCCGCCCGCCGGCACCAGGCAGCCAGGAGTTCGAGGAGCTGGCGCGGCAGCTGTCCGCCGCGCTCGCCGCGCGCCTCGCCGCCACGCCCGGCTACCGCGGCCTCGACGTCAACGGGTTCATGCAGTCAGTTGTAGACCGGTTTACTATTTTTACAAATTAAACTTCTTTACAATTGTTGCGATTTCAAACTCGATGAAAAGAAAATGCAACACGAAACAAGTACATAAATTTATAGGGCTAACGACTCACTATCGTCCCTATTTACGTTTTAGTATAGATTGATCAGAAAGGGATGAGATATTTTTCCACTGTAAAAAATATCCTATCTGTTGACCCGGATAACCAGCTATCACCGTACCAAATTTTATCAAAATCCCTCCAGTGGGTTTTCGTTGATGCGGTAACAGACAGACAGACAGACAGACAAAAATTCTAAAAACTATAGATTCGACCTTTGTATCGATAGTAATATCTATTCCAATAAGATTTTCCAAAAAATATTTAATGTACAGATTCGGCTTAGTTACAATTTTATTATATAAATAGATTAAGTCGGCGAAAAAATACGATAGAAAAAATACGATAGAATAAATGACCATTTTACCGCCATTTTTATAGTACCCAGCGACGGCATTGGATAGGACAGAATGTGTATTTATGATTACACGTATAGTTAGTTATGTACTATATTTTTTGCTAAGACTACTTTTAGTGAATTTATCCATCTTGGCTAAAACAAAATTTATTGTGTGATCAAAATGTATTTCAAGATATATTCGAAAATTATATTAAAACTTTGAGTAATAGTATAAAAAATGTTTTAACTTTTAATAGAAAACAAAATCGAATGAGCTTATTACAAGACTTCCGTGATAAACAATAGCATTCCCAAGGAGGGTTGACGTCAGGCAGGCGGCCGGTCGTACAACTTTTGCCAAATCCTTTCAGCAGTACAAAGGATGTGCTGATTGGGAAATGGGCAGGGAGGAGAAGAAGACCCATTTTGGACAAAATTCTTTAAGAAATCATTCTTAATTGTGTTTTTTATGAACTCGTCTGTTAAACCCAAAAGTTGTTTAAACTAACAAACATTGTAATTCAAATTTGACTTACAGAAACGAAACAAAGGCAATAATCGCGGATCTGACGCTGAAGTCGGTAGAGTCCGCCTCGGAGGGCGACGGCACGGACGAGGACAAGTGGGCGGCGGCGCTGCGCGCGGCGCTGGCGGGCGGCCGCGTCGGCGCGCTCGCCGTGGACCCGCTCTTCCTCGCCTTCGAGGCGCCCAAGAGTTAGTGCTGTTAATACCTTCTTAGATTTACGCCAATATTTGGCATTTTAAATAAAACTTCTTTTCGGGTTATTTCGCGAATTTAAACAACTATACCTTCTTGACATGTAACACTTCTGTCTCTCCCATGATTGCCGTAAAGCATTCGAAACGTCGGGAATCAAAAATCTAAATAAATCCGCGAAATAATCCGACTATCTAGTTTTATTTAAAAGTTAGTGCTGCTATTTAGTATTTTTGTGACATTCAAGTGACATCACTGATCGCTTTGTGCTCGAAAATCTACATTGGTTTAGTAAATTTAAACGTCATTGAAATTCTTTTTGTCGAAGTTACATAGCCTGTAGGTAAACGTCTTCAATAAATAAAAATGGGAAAATATTTCTCCAAATCACTTAACACCAGAGAAAAGCATGTACAAACAAACAAACTATTTAAATTTTTATATTAATATAAAATTTTTGAAAGTTATATTTAAGACTCTTCTAACAACACACTGCAATTTTTAGAAGACAGGAAACACTCTCTTTTCGTGGAAAGTATTTTATACTAATAAAGATATATTTATCTTAAAATTTCATTACCTTTGTTATAAACAACGTTTTTGTGAAATGTTATTTTAATGAAATTATCTGTAGGTCGTTGTTAATTTTGTCCAGGGACCACTCTCCCAAATACTAATATGCTTCTAAAATAATGAGTGATCGTCAATAATATGGATTTTTACACTAGTATTGTCTGATGGCATCTCGTGTAAGGCGGGAGAGTTATCTCACTCGAATCATATTACTTATCGTATACTAAATTATGTTCGATTCAAAGGTGTTTATTACTCGAATAAAGTTTAATAATTTAATGTAATTCCAGCGTCGAGCGTGCCCGCGGAGGGCGGCGCGGGCGGAGACTCCGCCCCGCTGCTGGGCGGCGCGCGGCTGTGGGTGGTGGCGGGCTGCCTCGCCGCGCTCGTGGCGCTCGCGCTGCTGCAGGCGCTCTGCACGCTCGCGCGCGCCCGCGCCCCCCGCCGCGTACGTACACACGCGACCGAACTTATTACACATATTCGTTTCTAGTACAACGACAAAACATAGTTCATTTGAAAATAATTTATTTCAGGACCAATTAATACCGGCGGCCGCATGGAAGGACTACGCGTCGGCGAACACGAACTACGCCTTCGAGCCGTTTGAGAACGACGACAAGTACAACAGCACGTCCACGCGCGCCCCCGCGCGCCCCGCCGCGCCGCCGCCGCCGCGCCCCGCCGCCGCGCGCGCGCCGCGCCAGCACAGCATGACTCTCAACCGACACGACATGGCCGTGGCCAATAGCAGACACGACATGCCTAACAACAGACATGACATGACCAATAACAGGCATGGTATGGCCAATGGTAGACATGACATGGTCAATGGCAGACATGACATGACCAGTAACCACATGAACGGGCACAAATCGCCCAGTAACGGCTACGCCACGGGAAGGAAGACCCCAAACGGCAGTAAGAAGTTCCCGAATAGTGCAGCTCAGTTCTACCACGAGACGAGGTCGCTACAGAGGCCTCGCTCACACTATGGGTGAGTTTTTTTTATATTTCTAGCGTTTCATTTTCATAATTATTTAAAACAATTGTCAATAGATAAATATTGGCGATTATTTTTAACATTTACCAATTTTGTGCCCGCGACTTCGTTCGCGTGCAGATTGGCAAAGAAAAATATGTTATGCAAAATTAAAAAAAAATCAAATATTTCAAAAAGGTTATTTAGCACCATAGTTCACGCAATATAAGCTACTTCTGTTGGAAATTACTTTTCGTTTTAATAAAATAAAACTTATATTCTTTGAATTCAATTAAGTATCTTATTTTAATTTAATGAGGTTTCAAACACAGACAATAATTTTAAAAGCCATAGAAATTTCTTTTATTTCTTTACAATTTTTTTGTACGGCATTTTTATTATTGTTATAATAATTATTATTGTATGTATATGTATTTGAATTGAGTATCTAAAGTAAATAGATAAGGGTTGACCTAAAGCAAGGCTGTATTTGGTTTAGGTTGCATGCGACCGTGTGGCCTAATGGATAAGGCGTCGGACTTCGGATCCGAAGATTGCAGGTTCGAGTCCTGTCACGGTCGACTGACCACTTTTTGTATTTAATTTTTATTTATTGTCTTTTATTTATAGATACGTGTATTATAAAATTGTAATACACCTTATGACTGTTTTGTTAGGGTATGTTTGAGATGTAATATCGACAGTTTTCAAATTTTTATTTGTTCGTTCATGTATCTGTCATTAACAATATCACAAAATCGTCTAAAATACGTATTATTTCCAAAACTAATTGATATTTTAAAATTATATTATAGCTTTCTGCTTCAGTGTTTTGTAAAAGTCACGAATTGATTTTTTTTATTTAATTTTAATTATTTTTTAAATTAATATTCATCTCGTGTGTCGTGTACTTTAGGTACGGCGCCGACGACGTGGACGCGCCGGGGGGCGCCGGCCGTGGGGGCCCGGCGGGCATGGGGGGCCCCGGCAGCGCAGGGGGCCCGGGGGGCGCGGGGGGCCCCGGCAGCTCGCTGTCGCTGCCGCGCTCGGCGCAGCCCGACTTCTACTTCATGCCGTCGCAACGCAAGCACGAAGGTGAGCTCGTGCGCGTGTTCGTGCGCAACGCGCCCGCGCACTGACGCACGCACACACACACACACCACACACACACACACACGCATAAACATATACACAGTTGGTATTGAGTAGGCGGGTTACAATAGTTACTTTTAAAATATTTCAAGTTTAGGGTTTTTTATTAAATATATTATTATAAATAGGCTTTACCAATAGATATAAGTCAGGTACAAATTATGTTTATGAAAATAAATAAAAGAAAATATATATTTAAAGAATAACACTCGATCACTTTAAACTCAATAATTGACATTAACGTATTATCATTCCCTAACTAAACAATAGTATTTTTTATAGCATTTTCGTACTTTCGTATGTAAAGAAAATCAGATAAAATTTTAACTTAAAATATAAGTTGTGATGAAACAGACTGTCAAGAACAACACATTTATATTAAATTGTATAATAAATATATGTAAAATATTTATATAATATTTACATTCAAAAAATTATGAAATATAATATATAACATTAAACATCGTAGTTACTGCAAGCCTTCATAGGGTTGTACCTAATGTAGATTTGTATATTTTAAAATATTTTCAAATTTCATTAATATATATGAGTACATAATTATGTAAGTATATTTGTCATTTAAAAAATTCTAAATTCAAAAATACGTTAAAGATAAAAAGTTCCACCTTTAGTGAACTTATAATAGAATTTATTCTTAAAGATTGTTTGAGACTGCCTTAATGAACATAGTGGTAGGTTAGGTTTGGAGATATGACATGACATACACAGAAAAAAACATACATTCGAATCGAGTACATTAAGTATTGAAATTGGTCAACAACTTGTATCGAGCATATTTTATATTCACATATCATACTAATATTATAAGGAGGTAAAGTTTGTGAGTTTGTTTGAAGGAAGTAATCTCTGGAACTACTGAACTGATTTAGATGTTTGGTAAGAAGATAGTTTGTGATCATGAGAAGGATAGGATAGTTTATATTTCGAAAATCATCCCTTAAGGGGGTGAAAATGCGGATGAAAGTTTTTATTGAGAATCTACCTAATTCTATCATCGCTATATAATCGCTAGTTTTATTCATAAAAAAACATTCAACATATCTGGTAATTAAGAAAATGTTAAAAGACAGTACAAACTTATATCTGTTACAATCCTTATATTGAAACGAATTTAAATAATAAATATGAATAGTATACTTACTTATTAAATATATTATTACGAGTGTTGCAAAGAATTTGGTACAAATTAATTTTAAATATCAAGTTATTTAATAACTTGACCAATAATTAGATGTAGTATTAAAATATAGCTTAGGTTCAAAGCTTTAATTTACATATATATATATAAAAAAAAATGTTAAAATAACACAATTTTCTTATATTTTAGAAACTTACTAGTGAGTTAGGCTTAGCATATTTTTAAATAAATTTATATACATTTACATAATATATTGTTTATTGATAACTTAAGTATATTACTTATTTTTATATTTAATTATAAGTAGCTTACTTAGAAATAGGGGAAAATTAGCTTTTGCGTGACATTTATATAATTGTAGTTTAGTTGTAATATAACTTTATATACATGTAATAAATGTTTTTATTTAAATATGGCTTTTATTATGGTTTACAGTTAATAACTGCCATAAAAAGGTAATTATTATTTCTTTAGGGAACAGGTTTCGTGACTAATTTTATTCTGTCACTAACAATACAACTATATTCTTGAGATTTTATTAAATTTAACCGATTTATATGTTTTATGTTTTATATATGTATTTATATTATTATTTGTCATTATTTATTATAATATCATTTTTTCATTTACAAACATATATATTAATTAGTAATCTTTAAAAAAAAGCAGTCACGAGGACTGCCGACAGAAATGAAAACTTAAACTATAAACAAGCAGTTGATATTTTTGGATATTCAAATTAATTGTTTGATGTTAAATTAAAATTTATAATTTAAACTTTCTACATTTATCTGGTTTCGACATCTATCGGCACTTAGTGTTAGCGTTAACACGTCACGTGACCATGTCGATGACGACTTACATGAATTCACTCCCCATCTAAACAAACCTGCCTATAGAAATTTTCACTTCAAAAAATATGTTTATATATATTGCCACAGCCCATGCATGGTTTGTCTAAAATTAAAAAAAAAACATTGTCATTTTATATTTGTTAACGACACGATCTAATAGACCCGTGCATTTGAAGAATGGTACAAAAACATCGCGTGAGTTCACTTCGCGCTAGAAAACTCAAATCAAATTATTATTAGCAAAATAAAGTTATTAATGAAAGAAATTGTTAACGAACATAAAGGCTTTTAAGTGAAATAAGGTTGTAACTGCAAAACAATGAATTTTAAAATGAATTATTAATCCCTCGACCACCGCGGACACGCCGGCGTTACAGTTTACAATAGATATCTTAGAAATTTAATTAATTTCTTAGAAATTGACCTGGTGGTGTTAAATGAAACATAAATTAATAATAAATATTAACCAGAACAAGGTTTATTCTGGTGCTAAAATCTATTTTTTTCTTTACTCAAACATCAATTTGATTAAATGCCAATAGATGGCGCTATACGTATAGATATAACGCCATCTATTGACATTTAAATAAGTTGATTTTTCTTAGTTCCTGATGAATCCCCAAATTGTATTGAGTTTTGTCTCTTTTCATAGATACTTACGTGATATTTATGACAATACTCAATAAGCCACCATTTCTAATCCCATTCTTTATCTGCACGAGTGATATATTTACGTAACTTCAAGTCAATACATTAGGTTGATACGTATTTATATATTTTACAAAACAAATATTTGTTTTATTTCTTTATTTTCATTCTTTTCTACATTTATGTGTGCTTACATCAAGGTGAAGGATGTCATGTAAATTTTATGCATAATATTTTCTTTTGCAGATTTCTGAACGAGAGTTTGACGACACCTGATTTAGTTACCAACGTACAGACATACAACTTGGAGTGCTTAATAGTTACATAAATATTCATTATATTCTTATATATTTTTCTTACATTTCGACATGTATTTTTTTTTTATAAAAAAATCAACACTCCATGTTTTATACAAATAAAAAATAAGTAACAGATAAAAGTCCATATATGACTCTATGCTATTATTTATTCCAAACATATCTAGTCTCACGTCACAGTTTTAAATTAAGTTATTATTTCACCTCATGTCAGTTAAATGTAAATTGCTTAAAAGGAAAGTATTAATATATCTCTAATAATTCTTTTACTCATACAAAACTTAGTTATCGTAATGCGAGCGGAGCCGCGGTCGAAATCTAGCAATGAGATTAAACTTTGCAAAAAATGTAAATTATATACGAAATATTCTTTTATTAATTATTATCTTTATAAGGCGTTTTCATAAGTATTTTTAATTTGAAAAGTTATCCAAAAAGGTATAATAAAGACTTCAAAGATTTCTATATGAACACTTAAGTTATAATAAAAAAAAACTATGCAAAAATATATTTATTTTATTTAAATTCAGTGTGGCAACAATTTGACTGCTAGTATTTTTTTACACTTAACTGACGTCTCTTTCTCGGTGTTGCCATATATCTAGAGATATTGTGGTTGTAATAATATGGCAATATCTTGAAAATGTAAATATTTTTCTATATATTTGCTGTAAATTCGCGATTTTACTTTTAATTTATACATTAACGTACTAATGTGGGTATTTGTAATAATAATTCAATGTCTTCCGAATTTCACTATAATATATTATTAGGGTTATCAAAATTAATTTAGATACTTTTAATCGTCGACTAGAAATTAATTTTTAGGATTTTTAATTATTTGATTTTTTTTTTGAATAATAATGATAAAAATGTACAGAAATAATGTTACAAGAATATACTTTTTCAATGTATTCGTATTTTCAGACATTTTACTTAATGTAAGTAAATTACTTTAAAGATTGTAATCTTACGTAACAAAAAATATAATTTTAATATATTTGTATGTATTTTTTATTTATAAATGTAAATGTGGTGCGAATATTTACCTGTAGGTATGTTGTAGTGTAGTACATTGTAGAGTCACAGTTTACTCATCCATACAGTTGTCTAACGAAGGCTCTAGACAGGGCAATGACTGAACAGTACTTTCATAAAATCGATCACTCTCTAGAAAGAGAGAAAGCGAACGTGCGGCCAATGCCTCTCTTTTATTCCAATTTGAATTTATAAATGGAATATTTAAAAAAAAATATAATGGAATGTAAAATGATAATAAATATTAATCTTAATGTTATTGCAATGAATTCAGAAGACTTCTGGCTGCACATTCGTTTTGTCTGTCGCGCCAGTCCGCCATTTTTAGCTGAGGGCTGGCAAAGAAATATTAAATCTACTGTATGTCGAGGGCGCGGCGCTCCCGAACTGGCATACTTACTTTGTTCGACACTCGGGAGACGGGGTTAGGGTTGCCGGGTATAGCTGTAACTTGACAAACTGGCGGCTGTGCCTTAACTTTAACTGTTCGCCGTGACAATTGGTATTGACAACGATGGTATTTTTGATGAGGCATTAATTTAATGAGCGATCGCCTTCTGTATGGATTTGTATACTGTGGTAGAATACGTAGAGTAAGGCGTGTGACAAAGTATGATAATAATGTTTGATTAACACGAAAGTATTAATTAATGTAGGCTAAGTTATTACCAAATCTGAGATAAATAAATATTTTACATATAAAATAATGTTTTTTATTTACTTTAAATATAATCATGTAATATTTATTGTTAGAAGAAAAAATTTGACAACGTCAATACAAAATTTATTGTGTAATCGAAATTTATTTTAAAATATACCCAAAAATAACATTAATAATTGAATTAATAGTATAAAAAATGTTATAAAACACAACAAAATCGAAAGTGCATAATATTTAACACCATTCAGACAAAGAAAGACAATAGCATTCCCAAGGAGGGTTGACGTCAGGCAGGCGGCCGGTCGTGAAACTTTTGCCAAATCCTATCAGCAGTACACTGAAGATGTACTGCGCCGACCCCAAGTGATTTGGGAAATGGGCAGGGAGAAGAAGAAGAAGATAATCATGTAATATTTAATAAATATAATATATTTGTTATAAATACATTACTTAATAAAAAATATACTATTAGGTAACAAAACCTTAAAAACGCAACATTCAAAATAAAACAAATTTAAATAAAAATAACATTTATTATATACAATAAAATATATCACAATCTCCATTTTCAGTATAAAAAATACAAATCTAAGTTAGATTACAATAATAATCCCTTTTTACATAAAGCTATATAAATCACACCAATTCCCGTTTGACATTTTTTACTTTGACTATTATTTATTGGTTAAACACCATGTTTATTTAAAGATTTGAAAACCATTTAACACCAGCCTTCATTTTAAACCTTTACTCCTTAATAAATAACCGTATGTAAAAGCGTATACATTGTTATTCGCATATGAAACTGTATTACCAATTATGTATCCTAGAAATATGCCATATAGTGTTAATAATAAGGTTCACAATCCCAAATAACTTCCTTGAAATTGAATAGCCTTTGAAATTGGTCATACAAATATCCAACACCAATAAATTTCAACGTTAATTTAATAATTAAACCTCCTCTACTCGTCAAATAAGGTAAGAAAAGAGTAAAACCTCAGAACGAAAGGTATAAAGGCTATAAAATTATATATGCATATGTAAAATTTTATGTTTTGGCTCAAAAATCTCATATAATCTCGTGTCAGAATCAGAGGTTACAAAAATGTTTTTTTTTGTAAATATTTTGTTTACATAATACTTTCTTAGTTTTGACTTTTTAAGGAAATTACCCTTTTGGATTTTATCGCGGTTTTTTTGAGTTTCAGTTCCTGACGTTTCGAATGTTTACAGAACAGAGTCACGGGGGGCTGCAGGCTGCTGAAAAATAGTATCATTTAAAATGTCTCGTTTTATTCACTCAAAATGAAGTTTGACGTCATTACAAAAGTTTTAAAGTATATTTTGTACAAATTTCGTCATAAACAATTTTTCATATGCTCAACTGTTCTTGAAATAAAGCAAAGTGGTATAAGGATAAATATTTTAAGTGGTCATGATGGCGAAAAAAATATAATTAAATGTTAATTTAATTAAAAGTAAAAAATATGATATTTATACTATTTTATTTCCATCTTACTTTGTCATGTAAGTGTTTTTTTAAAGATGTATATGTTTTATTTAGAACCATATAATTTAGTTCAAATAAATGCATATTATTTTAACCTCTCCAGAAGTAGTTGATTTCATAAAATATTGTATATATACCGTAAAGAATAGTGCAGGAAGAAATCAAATTTCATTTGGAGAAAGACCACAATATACAAAAAAATGATTTTCATGACCTATGACAACTTGTGACATGGCCACGAGATTATATGAGACTTTTGATTCAACACGCATATATGTATTTGTAAGTATTCAGCCTTTTCAACGTCCCACTGCTGGGGGTGGGCCTCCCTTCAATGCGAGGGGGATCAGGCCATAGCCGAGTGCGAACGGACTGAGCATGTATTTCAAAAACTTGAGGTTCTCTCAACCATTTAGGTTTCCTCACGAAGTTTTCCTTCACCGTAAGGCAAGTGGTAATCATGTTGGAAATGATTCGCACATGATAATATCAGAGGTGCGAGACCCGGGATTTGAACCCGCTTCACTCGGTTTCCCAAGCGAGCGCATTACCACTGGGCTACCACTGCTAGGTTGAGACATACAAAATACAAAGCAAAATTATATATTAGTTTATAGCTAATCACCCCACATCCGAAATGAAATCATTATTCGATTGGATCTTTATATTTAATCTTCTTCATAGCTTGGACTTAACGCGTGTCACCTCCTTGCTTTTCAACTGCCATAACTCCTGCGAAATAAAATGCTTGTATAATATTAATTTAGAAGTCGATATTGTGCAACATTTATATTGACTATTTAAATTGTATATTTTTGAAATATAATACATATATTATATGTATAGATATGTGTATAGAATTTCTAAGTACTAGGTTGTATTGTTGTATGTATTGTATATTATGTTTACACCTCAGATTAAAGAATTATATAGACAGAGTCCACCAAAATAAATATCACCAAATCAAACATAGTAGCGTGATTTGCTGTTTATGCTCTCGACTATGTCATATAGATTTCTTTAATTATAGAATAAAGGTTAAAAATTTTTTTTTTAGGTGTCATTGTATTCTAACAGAGACTTATACTTTTTAACACTTATAGTATTTGTGTAAATATTGCATATGTATGTTGGTGTTCGTTCCTATTCAATTAAATACAATATTGTATTGTATTATATGGTATTGTATTGTGTTTAAACGTATCGCAATGTATTGCATCTCACCGCATAGGACATATGTAAGCCATATTTCTTGACCAGCTCCTCCGTCTCCTTGGCGAGGTCCTCCTGTATGGAGCCGCGCACGTCTATGTAGTGCACGTCCGCGGCGGCGTAGTGCGCCGTCATCGACTTGCGGTAGCGCTGGATAGATTATATTATGACATGAGACTAGTTTCTCTGAAGGATCGGATCCGAAATGAAGAGATCAGACAGAGAACCAAAGTTATCGACTAGCAGATTAGAATTAGCAAGTTGAAGTGGCAGTGGGCTGGTCACATTTATCGCAGAACCGATGGGGTAGACGGGTTCTAGAGTGGAGACCACGGCTCGGCAAACGTAGTGTAGGACGCCCTCCAGCGAGGTGGAGTGACGACATACGTAAGCTGGCGGCAGCGGTTGGATGCGAAGAGCTGAAGATCGAGCTTAGTGGCGTGCCATAGGATTCAAAAACTAGAATTTCTCAGACATACAGGTTTCCTAACCATATTTTCCTTCACCGTAAGACGAGTGGTAATCAAGTTGGAAAACGATTCGCACATGAAAGTATCAGAGGTGCGAGACCCGGGATTTGAACCCGCTTCACTCAGTTGTTCAAGCGAGCACTTTACCACTTGGCTCTATTTAAATAATATCTACTTTAAATCTGAATTTATAATTAAAGCGCGAGATAAGAGCGCTGAGAGAAGATAATTAAAATACATTATAAATACAAATAGCAAGTCTCAAAACGATAACAATAAAGATCATAAATTATCACGTAGAGTGTTTTTATATTTCATATTTAAAGTTTTTATTATTTAAAAGAAACTTAAATACTTTAAAATTGACTAGATTTTTAATTGCTTCGAAAAAAAACCAAAAAGCAAGAAATAAAATAATTTATTTAAATATTTTAAGTCAAAATATTAACTATAGTTTTTATACTGGTGTAATTAGAATAAAGTCGTACGGCGGAAAATATCATACGTCATGGGAATAAAAAGAATCAAGACTTCTTACCAAAATATCAAGATTGGTTGTTTTGAAGATACTCTTTGATTTTCCTATTTTATTTCATTACTAGCGAGTCACCCCCGCTTCGCTCGGGTTCGTTCCTAGCTTGTTTCCCAATACAAACTTTCATCCCCATTTTCACCTCTTTAAGGGATGATTTCAGGGATAAAAAGTATCCTATGTCCTTCCCAGGGTCTCAAACTATCTTCTTACCAAATTTCATCTAAATCGGTTCAGTAGATCCAGAGATTACCCCCTAAAAAGTCACAAACTCACAAACTTTACTTCTTTATAATATTATAGTATAGATAATATAAAAAATATAATAATAATTATTATTAAAAACGAACTCACCTGAGTGGTATTAGGTCCTGACCCATGGACTACTAGGGGATGGAAGAACACCGTATCCCCCGGACTCATTTCCAAGTAAAACCGGGGCTCAGAGGCCACAGCTTGATCCAGAATCCCGTGGTACAATACGTTGGTAGCATCCTTCAAGGTTATAATAACAATAAATTAAATATAATCTTGATAGTAAAATGACAGTGACATACGGACAGACACACATGGCAAAATTATTAGGTATACGGTTTTGTTTTAGCCTTTTGGCTACGAAACCCTAAAAACCTAAGTAAGTTACTATTTCAGAGGAATGGTCAGTGAGAGTGATAGGACAGAATATATATACATATATTATTTGTATGTACGTATATTCTGTCATTTGTTTATTTACAAACTAACAGCTCCACATCGCTTCGCTCGGGTTCATCCCTAATGAAAAACCATTAACAAATCTATCCTACGGGATTAATTACCACTTGGTTACTCTACGCGTTCCTGAGAAAAATAGTCTTGGCAGACAGAAAGACAGACAGACATACGGACAACGAAGTGTTCCTATAATGGCTCCTTTATTCCTTTTGAGGTACGGAACTTTGAAAATGATTAGATTTTTTCATTTATAAATTCCAATAGCACGTTCGCCCTCTTTCTTTCTTTCTTTCTTTCTTTCTTTCTTTCTTTCTAGAGAGTGGCCAATTTCATGAGAGTATTGCTCAGTCCATTTTCTACGTCTATGTGATTGTCAGTTTGGACATGACATACGCCTGCAAACCCATCTACATTAAAATGCAGTTCTTTGAAAACTAGATGTCATCCTTTGAAGTATGGGAGAAATAAAAACCAACTCCAATATCTAATATATTTTAACGAGCAATTCTTGTATATATACATTTATATATATGTACATAATCTGAATTTCGGAAACGGCTCCAACGATTTTCATGAAATTTAGCAAACAGAGGGTTTTGGGGGCTATAAATCGATCTAGATTAGTTTTATGTCTGGGAAATCGCGTGTTTTCTACGCAAAATATGGTCGCTAATTCGCACGCTAGGACATACGCATCGTGGTCAAGCGGCCAAGGTGTAAGTTTAACAACCGCAGGTGTCTGGGTTGGTATCCCGGTTGGATACAAAGACAATTTTACTTATTTTGTATTTATTCAAATTTTTAGTTTGTTTTTTTTTTTAATGTTTTTTTGGCCAAAAACTCCGAGCGAAGCTCGGTTGCCCAGGTACTAATATATTACATGACATACATATATATGTATCAACTTTTATTAGACTTATTAGACATATTGGATAATTAATTTAAATATACCGTTTGCTTATTAATTTTCATTATCCTTTTGACGGTTAGTATGGAATAGACAGACTATATATACATACATATGTATGTAGGTTTTATATCGCTTACATAAGAAATGATTAATTCCCCATAAAAACTACCACCCCTTGAAGGTATCATTTACGGGGTAAAAACTATCCTATGTCCTTCCCAAGGTCTCAAACTATGACCATAACAATTTTCATCTAAATCGGTTCAGCCATTTAGTGGTGAAAACGTAACAAACAAACAGTTTTTTATTACTATAATACGAGAATTAAGTACAACGTATGGATTAGTAGGTATATTAAACTTTTTTCAATGTATTTAGTAACATATTTCTATTTATTCTTCACATTCATTCCCTTTTACAGTTTCCTATTTTCCTACACCTTGAAGTTACCATGAAGGGATCATGGTTTTAACAATTAAGCTACGTTTGCTATCTATCTCTTTCTTGGCCTTTATGACCTTACTCTTTGTCCTTTTCGTTAATATTATTGCTATTTTTACTATATAAGTATAACATTGTAACTTCCATCCCAAGGTTACATGAAAGAGACGGTTCATATATTTCTTATGTATATTCATTTAAAATATTGTTTTATAATTAACTAGCGGCTCACCCTCGCTTCGCTCGGGTTCGTCGCTAGGTACGTTTTAAATAGATATAAAAAGAAAAAATCTTTCTTTCTCACATTTTAATTATATGTTTTAATACTTACCTATTCCGGACTAAGAGAAATCCAAAAATTAAAATATCATAAAAATTGGAACGCGGTCGAACGGGATAAAAAGTATCCTATGTCCTTCTCCTGGCTCTAAACTACCTCCCTGCCAATTTTCAGCTAAATCGGTTCAGCCGTTCTTGAGTTATAAGCGAAGTAACTAACACGACTTTCTTTTATATATATAGATAAGGAAAATCCTTATATACTGATGAAGATTCATGGGTATATATAGGTAACCGACAGACAGACAGACAGACGAAGATATTTTCGTATTTATAATATTAGTATGGATTATAAGAACAATGTTACTCACTTCGATGTTTCCATGTTTATACATGATGTTACGTTTGTGGGACTTGGGCACGATGTACAGACAGCCGTTCTCTATCGTGGCGTCGTCGACGGCGGTCCACGCCGCTATTATTTTCTCCGCGGGTCGAAATGGAAAGTAGAATAAATCCTAAAATAAATAGAAAATCTGTTATTAAAAACATACACATATACAAAAATTCGCAATAATAATAATATTGCAGGTCTTAATCAATTATATTTTACTCTCATAGACATTCTTACATTTTTTCTCAAAAATAATCTTATTTGTAAATATTTACTAATATTAAAAAGAGGCAGAGTTTGTTTGTTTGAACGCGCTAATCTCAGAAACTAGTAATTCGATTTGAAAAATTATTTTTGCATTAGCGGACCGGCCCGTTTATTGAGGAAGGCTATAGGCTATATATCATCATGCTACCACCCAAGGGAGCGGAGCAGTAATCATAAATGTCAACAAATCGGACAGACCTCCATACATTATTGTAAAACTGATGTTTATAATTAAACAAATTTAACGCGGGTGAAACTGCGGAGCGCAGCTAGTATTCTATAAATACAAAAATTGTGTTTATTTTGTACGTAAATAAAAAGGTAAACATTTTTTGACTTACAAAGTAACAGAACGACGTCATCTATTGAAATAGAAAAAATGGATGACTTTGTTAAAGTTTTTTTCATTAAAACTAGAATTTATAATAATTAAATACTTATATTGAATGAGTCAGCAAAAGAATTTAATATTTTCTTGTCAAGAATGTATTTTCTGTAAAGGGTTTCCATTTCATAATGGTTTAATCGAATTTTCCTCTTAAATAAAACTATCTTGCCGGATTTTGTCGCGGATTTATTTTGATTTTTGGTCCAACGTTTTGAATGCATTGCAGCAACCATGGTTACAGGAGACAAATTTTCCTTGTTTAGTCTTAATCTAAAATTTTAATTTTGTTAGTTGGTTTAATTTGATATCGTATATTATTCAGCCTTTTTTCAAAGCATGCTAGGCACATTCCTCAACAAAGGGGATGAGGCCATAGTCCACCAAGATGGCCAAGTGCGGGGTGGACTGAGCATGTCTTTCGAAAACTTTCTAGGTTCTCTCAGACATACAGGTTTCCTCACGATGTTTTTCTTCACCGTAAGATACTTATCTTGATTTTATGATTACTACTTGGTAAGCATGTTAGAAATTATACACATGAAAACATCAGAGGTGCGAAATCCGGGATTTGAACTCGCTTCACCTGAATTCTCAAGCGAGCGCGTTACCACTGGGCTACCACTGCCTTTACATTTATATATATACTACTAGCGGACCCGACAGACGTTGTCCTGTCTACACGTCATTAATTTGAAAATTTCAAACTTTTTTTAATAATTTTTTTGATGAAAATTATTATTCAAATTGTGAATCTAAACCATTCCCAGATCCCCTTGAACACACACAAAAAATTTCATCAAAATCGGTCCAGTCGTTTGAGAGAAGTTCAGTGACATACACACTCACAGAAGAATTATATATATAAAGATTGATAATTTACAAATTGCGTTGGTACCGAGAAAGTATCACTAAACTCTACAGGGAAAAATATACCCCTAAAAAGAGAAAACTATTCATAGCGGGTTGAAGACTAGATACTATAACAAAATAATAAATAAAAAAAGCCTTTTATTTCATGCTATTTTGACATTTTTATAATAATGTGTTGATTAAAACCAAATTCTTAGGTTTTACATAGTAGTATACTCTTACAATGTAGTTTTTGTATTTTTTCTCAGAAATGAGATATTTTCCCGCAGTAAAAAGTATCCTATATGTTGACCCGGATAACCAGCTATCATCATACCAAATTTCATCAAAATCTGTCCAGTGGTTTTCTCGTGATGCGGTAACAGACAGACAGACAGACAAAAATTCTAAAAATTCGGACTCTGTATCGATAATATTGTCTATTTCAATTAGATTTTCCAAAAAAATATTTAATGTACAGATACGACTTAGTTACAATTTTATTATATGTATAGATGATAATAATATATTACAATTCCATATTATAATACCAATTGGTATGATTTATATTTATATAAGAGACAATGACCATTGTGTATAAATGAATTAAATCAATATTTGTATTTGTTTGTTCTATTTATGTATACGAGATAACTGTAACCTGACGTCTTAAAAGTTGAGCCACATTATCTTCATATATTACATACTAGTGACTTAGATGCGTCCTAATGAGAACGTAGATGTTTTAATTTTTTTGAGCGAAACCCTATTTCTTATTCTATAATAAAAGTAGCCTAAGTTACTTGTTATAACATTAACTACATATGAGTGAAAGTCCCGTTAAAATCAGTCCAGCCGTTTCTGAGATTAGCCGGATCAAACAGATTGACAGATAAAAACTTTTTAAATTGTGTTTTTCGTATAAGTAACGAGTTTTTTGCCGTGAAAACATTAAAAAAAACAAACAAAAAATTTGAATAAATACAAAAGAAAATAAAAGTAAAAACTTTGTATCCGACCGGGATACGAAACCAGACACCTGTGGTTGTCGCGCCTTCGCCGTTTGACCACGATGCTTATACCCTAGCATATGAATTAGCGAGCACATTTTGCGTGGAATAATGCGAAACAAAACCGCATGAAAACTCGAAAACACGCGTTTTCCCAGACATAAAATTAATCTAAATCAATTTACCGCCCTCGAAACCCCTACACTAAATTTCATGAAAATCGTTGGAGCCGTTTCCGAGATTCATATTATATATATATATATATATATATATATATATATATATATATATATATATATATATATATAAGAATTGCTCGTTTAAATATATTAGATAGATACATATATACAAATTTGTATAATTTAAAGATTGTATTTAAATGTATGAAATATAATATTATTGTGGTTATAAAAAAATATCTAAAACGGAAGCTTTAATTTACAAGAAAATTAAAAAAAAAGCAGATTATAATTACTATTTCTTAGATATACTGTTTCTAATAAAGAGGGCACCGAGAGGGGGGGAGGGGGGTGGTGTCTACACAGAGTCAGTAATTCTTTTTATGGACAATGTATACGCATGTACAACAGGATCCCAGAAAATGTTCAAAAGGCTTCTATCGCCAAATTCAAAAAAGTTGTTAAAGAACGTTTGTGTGCTAAAGGCTATTATACAATAAATGATTTTATAGAAGATGGCACACCTTGGGAATGAAATGATCGCCTCCAAACTACTTCAACTTGATAGAAATATTGTAATTTATAATTTTACTTTAAAAAAAGATAATACTTTAAGAAAAGATATTGGTCCCGCTGAGTTTCTTTCGCCAGTTCTTTTCAGGTCTGAGGCTTCTTTCCGAACTGGTAGTAGACACATGACGTTCAGTAAAAAATTGTAATACTTTAATGCTGAATAAAATATTTTGATTTGATTTGATACACATTTTGAGAATGTTAAGTGTATACGTTATAGAAAACGTATAGTTTTGTTATTATTAAAAAACTGATGAACTTCCTTGAATTATTTACGCCGCAGTAAGAGTTTATTTTGTTTTTTAGAGATCATTTTGAATTTTTTTTCTATCGAGAAAACTACAAGTAATCGTGTTTCTAAAGTGTACAATTTATAGAATAAATCCTTAAATATAATAATAGGGGCACATCTGTGTATGCCTGCTTTCTGGACCTGAGTCGTGCCTTCGACCTAGTAAATTATAATTTACTTTGGGAGAAACTGCATGCTTCTGATGTCCCAATAAAGACTGTCAATCTGTTGAGATACTGGTATGAGAACCAATTAAATAGCGTGAGATGGGGCGACGCGACATCTAGCGAATATAAGCTAGAATGCGGTGTGCGTCAAGGAGGGTTGACCTCTCCGGACCTATTTAGCCTTTACGTAAACAACCTGATTGAGGAATTAAGAAGTGCCAGAGTTGGTTGTCATGTTGGATCAACTTGCATGAATAATTTCAGTTATGCTGACGACATGGTACTTCTTAGTCCCTCAATCAGAGGGCTACGTAAACTCTTAGCAATCTGCGAACAATATGCTGCTGATCATGGCTTGAAATATAACGTTAAGAAGATAGTTATGATGGTATTTCGGGCTGGCAGAGGTCCGGAGACGATTCCGGGCGTATATTTAGAAGGGTTATTAATAGAGAGGGTTGAGCGGTTTAGGTATCTAGGCCATATTCTAACTGACAAACTTGATGACAGGGACGATATAGAGAGAGAACGCCGGGGGCTAGCCGTGAGATGCAATATGCTCGCGCGTAGATTTGGGAAGTGCAGTGATGATGTGAAGGTGACATTATTTAAAACATATTGCTTATGTTTTTATACATGTCAGCTTTGGGTAAAATTTCCTAGGCGAGCGATTAATAACATTAGGGTGCAATATAATGACGCATATCGTATCCTGATGAAATTGCCCAGATACTGCAGCGCTTCCGATATGTTTGCAAAAGCTCGAGTGCCTGATTTTTTCGCGATAATTAGATCACGAATCGCTTCATTTTGGAATCGTTTGAGAGTCTCTAACGAGATCCTTGCGAAGTTGGTAAAAACTTTTGACTGCACGATTCTTAAGTTTTGGCTTTCGGTGCATCAGGAGGCTAATAAAAAATAGATTCTTATAAATTTAGTAGTAATGGCCTATATACTCAACAGCGATATATTGTTTTTAATTCTAGTTTAATTTAATGAAGAGTCTGACTGAATTTTGTTTTTATAATGTTTTTATTGACTTGCATATATATGCATAAGTGATATAAAAATTGACTTGTATAACTACATATATGTTATTATATTATAAATTGGGTGTATACCTTTGCAATAAATATTATTATTATTATTATCAACACTGTTTTAGTGTATGTTTGTATTTTTATATGTACTTGTATTGGAGGTCCTTAATAAATAAATAATGACATATCCATTAACACCTCCAGGTGAATTTCTAAAAAATTAATTAATATTCTAAGAAATCTATTTTTAACTGTAACGCCGGCGTGTCCGCGATCGTTTAGGGATTATACGATTGCAACAACCTCAAGAGGATATATAGGTATGTTACGATGCCATACGAAGGTAATGAATATTTAATTTTGCATTTAATTAAACAAATTAATTGCATAGGATGAACTTTATAGAATAAACTAGCATTGCCTACCAAAAACCAAATTTTAGGTTTAGCATATTAGTATACGCTTACAATCCAGTTTTTGTCATTTTTCTCAGAAATGAGATATTTTCCCGCGGTAAAAAGTATCATATATGTTGACCCGGATAACCAGCTATCACCATACCAAATTTCATCAAAATTCCTCCAGTGGTTTTTCTGTGATGCGGTAACAGACAGACACACAGACAGACAGACAAACAGACAAAAATTCTAAAAACTATAGATTCAGCCTCTGTGTCGATAATAATGTTGGTTTCAGTAAGATTTTCCAAAACATATTTAATGTACAGATTCGGCTTATTACAATTTTATTATCATTGAGCATATAGAATAAATGGTATAATGGTAAAAAAATATAACGATACGTTTCTCCATTACGTTTCAAGGAAAGACAAAGGGTAATTAATTTAAATTAATTTTGCTTCAACACGCGCCTACCGTCGCATGATTATGTCATTAAAGTATCATTGCAATAACAACCACAGTCAAGAATATAAAACAACATCTCCAGGTAAATTTCTAAGAAAAGAAATATATTGGTAACTGTAACGCCGGCGTGTCCGCGGTCGATGAGGGACTAAACGATAATATATTTATTTATTAAAGCTCATATTTAAGAAAAGCTTTTGCTTTAAATTAAAAAAAAATTATGGAAATGATACATCTAAACGTCATGTCATGGGGTAAGGACACGGTAATGTTATATACAGTATTCCATCTTCATACAAACGGTCGGAAATCGAGTTATACCTACGCGCGTCGCGTTCGGTATACACTCGGTAGACAACCGCGCGGGGCTGCCACGTCGTGTAGTTGGGTAGTAACTTTTATAATTGGATACAAAAATAAACATTTTATTCCTCCTGTAACTTCGCTAATGTCAAACAAAAAAGTATCGAGACATCGTATGTTATAAAAATAAAAATTTTAGTATTTTTAATTAAATTTTTTATCGGAATGCGGATTTTTTATAGTATTAAATTTAGCAATACAGCTTTTAGTACGTCACAGTCGAGGCGCAAATATTTTTCAATCTCAAATTTATAAGGTCACATACCACCTTTATAAATGTGAGATTTTTTAATTAAATCTACTAATAATATTTTTTAAATAAAAAATATAATATTATAAACACAAAAGAACAATCGTCGAGGAAGGATCGTCGAGCATATTCAGCAAAATTAGGGTAAGCGTCGGAATTAGTACTCATGACGTCGTACAAAATACTAGCTAGCCATATCAATATTTTTTAGGCCTACACATAAGGATTTAAAATCTTTCTTAAAATTACTCCATGAACAATCCGCGGTAACCCTGTCATCTAGCCATGGCCAGACTTAGCGTCACCCTTGAGGCAGTGACCTATGCGCGACAAACATTCAAAATCACTCCATTTATTAATAACTTGCGCGCGATCTACCTCATCGAACCAAGAATCGATATTATGCATATTGGGATCAAAATTAGACACGTAATAATCACGGGGACAACTAGTTTTTAAAGAATGTATAGCCTCAACAATCTCCTTAGTAGAATCACTGGTCGTAGTGCTTAATTCAACATTACAATTATTATCGGTTGACGCCATCACCGATGTCCTGTTTTCTAATACATTCAACCGAGTAACAATAGATTGTAAAGATTCACGTAATTCCGAATTACATGATATACTTCAAGATCGCGAACTACGAGTAGAGCGAGTGCGAGATCTTCGGCCTCGTTTCGAAGTAATACGCTACCTTGAACGGCTACACGCACGCTTTCCTTTACCCATTATCGCAATTACTTATAGTGCTCAAGTTGACTGACTTCAGCACTATAATATCTCCTGCGCAGTTGGCTAATCTCAAGGAGATTGGCCGCCGTAGCCGGAGTCGGCTAGGAGAGAACACACACACATCACAATTACTTACACCGCAATATGAGCTTACACTTTTTCAATAAAAATGCGTAACAATAACCAGAAATTAACAAAAGGTAAAGTGGCCGATCCCACTTCTGATATAAACACAAAAGAACAATAGTAGAAACTTATTTACATAAATCTGACAATTAATTATATAGTTTTAAGCACTTGTATTAATTTCTGGTTTGTGAATACAATTCTATAAAAACTATCCAGTGATACACCGATTCGTATATCGCGCCAGCTCGAGAAAAAGTAAAGTCAACTTGACAATGACTCTTGACATTTTGATAGCTTGAGCTTGCTCACAGATTAATTATCGAATATCAAAATAGTGGATTTATCCTTATAATATTTTAAATATAAAATTAGAAAGAAACTCGAGTAGGTAGGTGAAATTAAAATACTGGCCGGCGGGCACTCGGGCAGACCTGTGCCGTGGTTACGTACCGCGCGACTTTAGGTAATTATTTCAAGGACAAGGCCGAGTTGCAACACTGTATATATTCATATAACACTAGCATTGCCCGCGGCTCCGCCCGCATTTAGATGACCAAAAACCAAATTATTAGATTTTACATATTGGTATACTCTTACTTTGCAGTTTTTGTATTTTTTCTCAGAAATAAGACATTTTTCCGGGGTAAAAAGTATCCTATATGTTGACCCGGATAACCAGCTATCACCGTACCAAATTTCATCAAAATCCCTCCAGTGGTTTTTCTGTGATGCGGTAACAGACAGACAGACAAAAATTCTAAAAATTATACATTCGGTCTCTGTATCGATAAGAAAGTCTATTTCAATAATGTTTTCCAAAAAATATTTATGTTCGGCTTGGTTACAATTTTATTATATGTATAGATAAAAGTCCTTACCTGATGTGGAGGATGACTGACGCTTCCAGGCGGCTTATTTATTACCATACTGTTCATTACACGCATGTCGTCTCCGATGAATTGCGATATAACATGGATCAATCGAGGGTGTTCTGTATACGACATGAACACTTCATCGTAGTGTATTTCGCTGATCTGCGACATTAATAATAGAGTATCAATATAAAAACTGCAAAAAAAACCGACTTGCAGGCACTAAAAAGTAATAAATAACTAAACGGAGGTTTTCATTTAGAATAGATACCTAATCAGATATTTTCGATGTCGGTGCCAGCCGACGCAAAGGATTATTCGATAAAATTTCGACACGTAAAATACATAACAAATTGATGTATAATATTTTAACTATAATTAGAGTTCATATTTTGTCATATTTACATATAATATATTCTAATCTTAAAGTATTGCCGGTTGGCAATTATATAAAATGTTGCAATCTAAAATGTTGTAAATGTAAATTAATTACAAAAACAAAAAATATCCGACTACTTAAAATGCCTATTACAGCGATTGAAGATAACAGAGGAACAAAGTTTACTGACGAGTTTTATGTTTTTGTAATTTCCTTATAAATGTAACAATATTATATTAGAATTTTTCAAATCGGATTAGTAGTTCCTGAGATTAAGTCATCCAAACAAAAACACTCTGTCTCTTTATAATATTAGTATAGAAGTATAAATATATCGTTAGTACATAACTCAGACAGTACATAATTATTACCTTGTTGATCACATCTTCGCCTGTTAAACCTTGTGATATTAATTTTTTTTCTTTAACAATTCTCATCGAACCTCTATCTACATTCCTGCTAGTAATTTGACTAAATCTTTGCCTGTAAATGAAAATATGTAAGAATCTTTTTGTAAAACTAACATCTCTCGGAACTAGCTTGCATATATATTGTATTGAGATGAGTATTTTAACATAATATTTGTTCACGTTACATGTTTACAATAAAATATTAGTTAAAAATATAATATTTACTGACAACATTTTTTCAAGTACCACACGATCATGAGTGATAAGTAGTGTGCACTCTGTGCAGGCCTTTTTTCGAGGAGCTTCAATATGTACAACATAATATGTTGCCTAATACTTGTGACTAATTTTGTGACCAAATTTATAGGAGTCGAAGGCAGACAACGAAAGAAACTTTGTTCCTACCGGGTTTACTGTGACACCAACTGACTTTTTTTATAATAATATGTAATTATAAAAAATACTTTTGCCAATTTTCCCTCTTTTTTATGAAAAAATCGAAAAATACTGGAGTGAAAAGTATAATAATAATATTCCCTGATTTTTGTTACAGAGATTTTTATTTTCAGGATGTAATCTAATTGAAACAAAAGTTCTAACACTTGGTTGAAAAGACATCAATACAGTTTCATCAGCCCTCAGTGATTGGGGTGGTTACTTTAATCCCCTCGACATAAAGTACAACCTAGGTAAGTGCAAGTTGTAAGGATTTCCAATATCCAAATAGAATTTAGATATCCCAAAGAATCTATTATCCTTCTTTCAAATTTATAAAAAAAACCAGAAAGTCTTTTGGCTAACAGTTGGAAAATGAGCAACCTCATCGTGTCAAGGACAATACCCATAAATGGCACATTAAAAATTGAAAGGCTAAACTATGTTACCAATGTGGTTCACTATAGCTCAAGCCAAGCCATATGGAGAAGAGGCCAATGCTCAGCAGAGTAATTTAAAACAGCTGAATTTTTATTGATAAAAGCACTAAAAAGTAAAAAATAACTGATTGGTAGTTTTCATTTACTATACATACCTAATCAAATATTTTCGAAGTCGGTATGCTTTGCTTTGTATGGGCTGGCACCGATTTCGAAAATATTTGATTAGGTATGTATAGTAAATGAAAACTACCAATCAGTTATTTTTTACTTTTTAGTGCTTTTGTTTGAAGTCGGTTTTTATTTTTTTGTTAAAAAGTTTTTATTTTTCCCTTTTTAGTGTACACAGGAGTAGCAAAGTAAGAATTCTAACGTGTTAGGCTTGTCATATCAAACAAAATAAGCCCAAACTCAGAGTATCTACTATTAGCCGTTGAAGAGTTCCACCTATCCACCTTCTGGCCTTACCATCAGATCAGATCAATAATACCGAACCACTGTACTATCAACGGAAATAGAAACACTTGCAAATTTAAAGTTAATATGACAATTACAAGTAGGTTAAATTTATCATTAGCTATTTTTCCACCCTTAGGGGTGGTATTTTTGTTTGAAATTTAAATGGGACCAATCTGGAAGTATACCCTTTCAAACAACAGAAAAATTGTCCAAATCGGTTAATAAATGACGGAGTTCTGAGGTAACAAACATAAAAAAAAAAACATACAGTCGAATTTAGAACCTCCTCCTTTTTGAAGTCGGTTGAAAATATAATATTATTTTCTATTTTCTAACAATCATTAAAACATAACATAATTAATATTAGGGATACATATTCTACAAAAATAATTATAATCTAAATACTTACTTATAAGTATATAAAGAAGCAAAATCTATAAATCCTTTGATCACCAAATATCCATTTTCCTCATAGAACTGTCGTTGCTCAGGTGAAAGGAAATATGTGCTTGGTAATTCAGTATTCATCGTACAGTTGCTTTACTGTGTAAGATATATTTGTATATTTAAAGTAAAAAAGTAAATCATTACATATTACTTTATTAGGTATATATAGATATGGTCCAAAATTTTTGATAAGAAAATACTTTTGCATTGTGAAGCAAATTCTAACTTACATCACAAAAATTTGTTATTTTACTTGTTATTAACACGTAAAAGTAATTCCAAGTTTATAATTTTTTTTAATAACAGGTTTGTTTCAAAGTCAAGAGTAGTTACAAAATTACAATATTAAATAATAGGTACTAACGACTGATTTATTGTTACATTGATAAATGTAGACACTAAAATGTAAAATTATATTGTATCCTTATAGGTATTGTGTTCTTTTAAATGCCTTTATTACCTTTTATATTTTTCTGTAAATACCTATTTAAAAAAAAGGAACAATGGGACGCGCGCACTACACTTATAGTATGGAAAACTTTAAACTACTAACAAAACTAAGTACTAAGCTATCGGTAAAGTAAATATTGTTTTTTCTCTTCCGAGAGTTTGAAGTGGTTTGAAGACTCACCTACAGGCTACAGTTGCCAGCTGTGATTTGTACTGACAGTTGACACAAGTTACAGCTTATTTGATAGATGTCAAAAACGAAATGACATTAGCAATGATAGATGTAGAAGCCAGCGTTTTGCGCGTTTATTAAAAAAAGACGTTATATTTTATTTATTTAATGGGGCCTATTTACATTCAGTTTCAGTCTGAAGCTAAGCAATTTATTGTGATATCTCTTCTATACCTGGTTTATCGGTTCTATTGTGTTCCCAACTTATCTGTGCAATGTTTTGTACCTGGAAGTTAGACCAGTTGAAGGAGGAATTGAGAAGGAGAGTTGCATCCTGCGGTGGTCCTGATGAATTTGTCTTCCTAATATGATGAAGGCGTCCGATAAGAAAGGATTTTTCGAAATTCATACCTTACACTAAATATAGATTACTAATTAATATTTTTAAAATTGTAATAATTATAAAAATAATAGCAAAAAAAATAAATAAATAATATTCCATATTCAATTATAATAAAAATGTTTAAAGTTAAAATATTGTAATGTAATTGGTGCAATTTTCATTTGTTAATTGTGGGTAGGCTGTCTGTAACAACTATACCTTCAAGACATGTAACACCTCAGTCTCTCCCGTGACCATGATGCTGTAAAGCATTCGAAACGTCGGGAACCAAAAATCAAAATAAATCCGCGAAATAATCCGAAAAGATAGTTTTATTGAAAAATGTGTTTTTTGAAGTTATACTTCCTTTGAGACGTTTGGAAAATATTATGAGAGTAAAAGTTTTACGATGCGCCGACAGCCACAAAGCGACATTATGAAGTTAGCTCAAAGCTACATGATAAAGTTAGCTGATAACTGTTTGTTCCCATGGTAACCGTTGTCATTGTCTGACAAAATTATCTATATCTATATCTTATATATATGTATTTATATATATTTAAAAGGTACCTAGCGACGAACCCGAGCGAAGCGTGGGTGAGCCGCTAGTGATATATAATATTATATTCTTTACTTATGGATCGAGACCCGGCTGCGAGATTGCTACGTTCATAGCGTATTTAATCAAAATCAATTTTTTATATACAATAATAAAAGGGACAATATGTTTTGACCGCGGTGCCTATTAAAATGTGCCCGCCAGTATGTTTAATTTAACAAATAATTATTGACTATTTGGAACAAAAACTGCATTTGTTATTAAAATGAATTATACTCCACTTTACAGAAATATACGTAGAGATCTTGAAAAGTGATAGTTGCCGTTGCGCACTTGGCCGCAACCTCTTCGCAGCCAGATGTAAGCAGGTCATATTTTGTTACGTTTATACGTTCATGGCGTATATTCATTCATCATTTATATATAAAATTAAAGCTAATTTTTTTCTGTGCATGATAAAATACCTCTACCTATGTAAAAGTGGCCGCAATGGAAAGACAAGAAGGAAAAAATATAATATTATATATTACCAGCATAGCCCGAAGCTCTGCCCGCGTTCAGATGACAAAAAACCGAATTTATTGGTTTTACATGTTATTATACTCTTACAATGCAGGTTTTGTATTTTTTCTCAGATATGAGATATTTTCCCGCGGTAAAAAGTATCCTATATGTTGTCCCGGATAACCAGCTATCATCATACCAAATTTCATCAAAATCTGTTCAGTGGTTTTCTCGTAATAAGGTAACAGACAGACAGACAGACAGACAGACAGACAGACAGACAAAAATTCTAAAAACTATAGATTTGGACTCTGTATCGATAATAATGTCTATTTCAATTATATTTCCCAAAAAATATTTAATGTACAGATTCGACTTAGTTACAATTTTATTATATGTATAAATTTGTCAGACAATAACAACGGTTACCGTTTTTAAACTATAATTAATTTTCCATTTTTTAGTTGGATTCGCTATAAAGGCAATTTTTTTTAGTTTTATAATTATTTTTTTAAATAAAATATTGTATTGTCATTGGTTCTTGTTAAAAGTGCAAAGTTTTATTTCAGTCTGAAGTTTTGAAAGTGGGTGAAAATCGCGTTCAAATATTTCGTTATATAGATAAATCTATCTATACTTATTATAAAAATAAGTCCCCCGGCCGCGTCTTTCTGTCCTCCTGTCTGTCCTCCTGTCTGTCTGTACGCGATAAACTCGAAAACTACTGAACGGATTTTTATACGGTTTTCAACAATAGAAAGAGTAATTCTTGAGGAAGGTTTAGGTATATAATTTATTATGCTTTTATGTAAATTAGCTGAAATACGGCGACAAATGTTGAAGAGGTCGCAAAAAATCTCGCCAAATGGGAACTTTCCACGCGAACGCCGCGTAAACTAGCAAAGATACAGTTAAGTAATGTACTAGAGAATTCAAAATCTATAAAAATGCTACAAAAAAGTCCGCGATAGCATATCTCTATCTCTTACGGTTGACTTACAATAACCACTTTTATGTTAACATTTTTAATTAAAAACATTACGTTATTTTCAAAGTTATTTTCTTTAGTTCGGTATTAATCCTTATCCAAATGAATATTTTAGTTAGCTTAGTCATTTAATGCAGATTAAAATTGCTCTTTACACTAAATCAATCAGATGAATAGTTTTTGAGATATCGTTGTTAGAAGTAATTAGTAGCGAAACATTTTTAATGCTTGGCGAGCATTGAGATGCCTACGGCGAGTCCATCCCCTCTGCCCCGCATCGCTCGACCGCCTGCTCAAGCTATATAAACCGGGCGATGTAGCGCGCGATCCTAGGATACTTTTTACCGCGGGAAAATATCTTATTTCTGAGGAAAAATACAAAAACTGCAATGTAAGAGTATACTAATATGTAACACCTAAGAATTTAGTTTTTGGTCATCTGAACGCGGGCGGAGCCGCGGGAAATGCTAGTAGATAAATAAATGCAGGTGAAGCTACTATCGCTTTTTCCAAACTATAAGATTAATAATAGGTATATCGGATCTGTAACCAAGTTTGAATTTAATGTGCAACACTGTGGGCTATTAAGGGTTTCTGGGATATAAAAAGAAAAGACTCAATGAGAAAATTTAGACGTAATTGTAGCGAATTGTCACTTAGCCTTCTCGCCTACTACGAGTATGACCCGAGTCTGATCTGTCACCATACAAAGTTCAAACTATTAACATATTTTTTTACAATTAAAGAATAATTAAAATGAAATAAAGTAAAATTTATTACATTCGTAAGAAATATTTTAACTAACATTTTTTTCTGGAACTTCTATCTGGCGTGGAAAGTGTTATGTAAATTATATGACAAAAATATCCACATTTCATACTGAACCAGATTAGGTGATAGTAAAACATTCTTATTTAATACACAGATGGTTTCGAATAAGCACCAGCGAAGAGTGATATATCGTATTTTTTGTCAACTATCATAAATAAGAATGGTCTATTTACGGTGAACTCCAATACACTAGATCTGAAACCAAATTCAGCCTTCGTTGCCGCACTAGCTACCGTGCCATTTTCAGTTACCTCAATATGTGCTTTTTGAACAAAATTAGACACATAGATAGATTCATCAGAAATGTCTGAGAATCTAGCCTGGGCGCTGTCGAACATACTCCTCAATCCCATGTCAGCTAGTAATTCCTTCAAGTTACTAAGATCGGAATCTATCTTAAAACGGGGCAATTTAACCATAACTAAACGCTTTTCCTGATTTTGCAATGAGACACTTATGCCTCTAAGGCTGACTTGACTTAAATTTTCGATGACACGGTACAAGGGTACCTCTTCTATGGGTAAGAAGACAAACATTGAATATCTGCTTTCAGATTCTTTTCCATATGGAAGTTCCAAGACTTCTGCTTCAATCTGTTGAAATAGCTTTTGTCTGAATTGTCCTAATGCGAACATAATATTTACATTACCAATTGAAAGGCCGCGTTCATTGTAAAATTCACTTATTTTTGGTGTCGTAAAGTCGAAAGGCTTTTGCCAGCTTCCATTGAAAAATATTGAATCTACAATAATCATAACTGAATTTTCAATGTCTCCTGGAGACACCACTTCATCTATAGTGTTTCGAGTTGCTTGACTTACATTTTCATTTATCTTTTGTGCTGCTTCGTCAGAATTATCAAATGCCATACTTTTTATAGTACTTAAGTCCTTTTCGTTAATTCTTGATTTAAAGGTTTTTAAAATGGGAAATTTATCATCGACATATATGAAGGAACTTCTTATGACGTCAACATTATTGTCATTGCTTGCAGCGACTTTTTTTACTATCGATAGATAATAATTATTGAAGCACCTATGCGGATGTAGCCTTAGTACTTCCTTAAGTTCCTTGAGAGTTGTGTCTGTAGCACCTAGTGAAGTGCAGGAGAGTAATGCCCATATCGACAGAGTTGATATCACGAAGTGATTTTCCTTCTCTTGCGCAGATCTGGTTAAGAGATCTGTAGAGAAATCGTACACTGCTCTTCTCAGTGGTAGTAGCGCTTTTTCTTCATTACATTGTGCCCAAATTGATGGTACACTCCCAGTAATTAATAACAATGTAATTACTAAATTTTCGTTCATGTCCAATGATAGAATTCCAGAGACTGATATATTGCGGGCGATTATACTACACGTCGATGTTATCGATGTGACCGTTTATATTCTGATAATTAAGGTTAAAGTTCTAACGTGGGGAAAACTTATTACGATATTAAGCTAAAAAGTTATAGGTACCTATAATTGTAATTTTGATAGATGAACTAAGCAAGTTCGATCTAAATTGACATATTCTTGCGCAAGACCGCAAACTTGGAAACGTAGAGGAGAGGGTTTTGACCAGCAATGGGTTACCCCACATCATCCCAGTGCTTCTCTAACTTTAACTAATATATAATTTGTTGTGCATACTATAATTGTTATGTAACATTATCGCTTATCAGTGTTATCGTTCCATTTAGAAAGCTTTTATCGAAAGCGAAACTAATAACTAAGTAAACAAATACTATCGGTATACAAATATGTATAAATAATAATTTGTTGAAATTACTTCAAATAATAGTAAATTCTATAAATGATAAAATTTGTTCCAAATAAGTGATTCTTCGAGAAATTTCTTAAAAAGAACGCCTTTAGCCTTCACGCGCAAACTCGTTAACCCAAGTTTATCTCTTGCTCTGTTTATGAATAATGATTGCGACATCAATTTTAGCATTGAGAGTACAACTATAATTATAAATTATTTCTGATATGTTTTGCTACAGCATAATCATTTAATAGTTCCCTGGCGCACTTTATTGTAGCAACTATGATGCTGATAATTTATTTAATGCTCGTAATTTCATCAGTTTTTGGTGCAAAGTTTTCGTGTAACTATGAAAGTGCTGTAAATACGTTTAAGAAACCAACGTATGACTTTTCCGTTCGACTCTTAGATAGAGTGGCACAAGAAACAGGGTATCATTTTGTTTTTTCCCCGCTATCGACTTGGCTACAGCTGATGACTCTCGCTGAGGGTGCTAGAGGTCTCACTGAAAATGAAATAAGGAAAGTAACGAGATATCACCGTATGAAATGCTTCAGGAGAAAATATCGCGAAGTATTAAATGGAATAGATGAAGAATTGGCCTATATGTCCAAAAGAACGAATGTTATTGTCATAGATAAATTACTAGATGTAAAAGATTCCTACAAAAATGAAGTAAAGAGGATAAATAATACAAAAATCTTATTACTAAATTTTAATGATCCTGAAAATGCAGCTGTAAAAACAAATGAGATCATCGAAATGGATACGGACGGAGTTATCAAGGAAGGCTTACATGCTGAGGATTTTAACTTAGCTGTACTGCTCATGACTGAAACAGCCTACTTCAAGAGCGATTGGCGGACTTCGTTTAATCCCGTATACACTTCTACGGAAACTTTCTACACTGAAGAGAACGTGGCTGTTGGCAAAGTAAGGATGATGACACAAACTGGCTATTTTAACATAACTAATGTACCATTAATCGATGCTAAAGTATTAGAGTTACCTTTTAACACGGATGGCCGCATTTCCATGATGGTATTTTTGCCAACAAAAGGCACTGTCAAAAATTTGCTATATCACCTAAAAAACATAAGGTTGATGACGATATTTAGCCTACTTGAAGAAAAGGGTGAGAAATTAGTAAACGTAAAATTGCCGCGATTCCAAATAAAAACTGATGTTGTAAATATACCAGAATTAGTACATGATATGGGAGTTAAAAGAATTTTTTCCCCGGAACTAGCGGATTTTAGTGGCATTAGTGACTACAAGATGTTCACTTCGTTGATGACGCAAATAGCGGATATAGAAGTAACTGAAAATGGCGCAACAGCTAGAGCTATGGCTGAATCTTTAATTGTCGGTTCCACCGATGAGTTTGTTGTAAACAAACCCTTTGCTTATTTAATTGCTGATAGAAAGACTGATGTGATACTATTTGGTGGTATTTATAGCAACCCTTCCATTTATTAAATTTGTTTTAAGCGATTAGTGTTTGCTTTGACCTAGATTTACTTTTAAGGTTGTCCTCTAAATAATCATAAATCTTATTTAAAAATATGTTTTCAATATATTCACTTATACCTAATACAAAAAATAAGTAATTATTGAATAAAACCGTGTTGTTAAGATTGGCCGGAAAACTCTGTTTATTGGGAAATATATTTAAAATATAGGTAATAATAAATCTTTACACTATTGATAAGCTTAGGTAAATATAATACAAAAATTATAATTATTAAACCACTTATTGTTAGAATAAAATTGTTTAACTAATATTTTAAAATAATCCCTCAAAATACGCTGCTTATGTTATATTTCACCTTGTTTAATATTATGTTTTTAAAATATGTTTGTATGTCAAAAATAAAACAAGTAGGTACGTATAATTTAGGCCTCTCATCACTCACTTACATAAACAAAACAAATGATTAAAAAACATTTTATTGATAAACTTAACAAAACCTTGAATTATGACTAGTATCACATTAACAGCCTCCGATAAAATATTATTAAAAAGTTATCTATACAAAATATTTTGATATATTTTATTATTATATTGAATTCACTTAAAACTAATTGCGTATTATATTCCTTCCTGCACTTGTACTCAACCCTTCTTAACTCTGCCTGTCCCACTGCTGGACACGGGCGTCTTCCAATACGAGGGGGATCAGGCCATAGTCCACCACGCTGGCCAAGTGCGGGTTGGCGGACTTCACATGTCTTTTGAAAACTTGCTAGGTTCTCTCAGATATGCAGATAATAATATTTATGCCTTCGAGTGACATGTACTTTACAGTAGAGAGTTGTTGTCTTCTATTTGAAAAATAACTCTTTATTTGTAAGATTATATAGATAGGTATCTATATAGAAAAAATACATTTTTAGTTTTTTTTTTAAGTAAAATATGTATTTTATACCAAAAGAACTGACATTTATAAGTCAATAATCCTACTAATATTACGAGTGTAAAAGTTTACATGTTGGATGTTTGGATGGATGATACACAATCGAGATCGATCGATCGATCACATTTGGATGAAATTTAACACAGAGATAGATTATAGTCTAGAATAGCACATAGGCTACTTTTGATCCCCGAAAAATATACGGTTCCCGTGGGATAGATTTATTTTTGTTTTTCTAGAAGCGAGCCCGAGCGGAGCGAATGCGAGCCGCTAGTTTTTTAATAAAATCTCTTTCGGTAAATTGGCTGTTTGAACAAATAAGCGACGACTTAAGTCGCGTTATTTCTGAAACTCAATACGTGATAAATAACATACATTTATAAAAATCTGTATCTAATATATTTATAATATGTATGTATTTAAAAGTTATATATTACTATCTGGTATCCATAAAACAAGCCTCGTAGCATACCATGGAACTAGATGGTGCTGTGTGTTAATGTCCCAACATATTTATTTATTTATTTAATAAGATAAGGTACAATAGAGTTATCTAAAAATATAACTTATTGCAAGCTCCGATATAATTTTTAGTATCAACGAGTATAAGGAAATTACACTAAACACATTTACATGATGTTATACTCGTAATGTTATGATAATATGTATCACATACTTTATTTTAATGTCTAGTTATATAACTAATGCAGTTATTAACATTTAAACTGTTTTCAACCGACTTCAAAAAGGAGGAGGTTCTCAATTCGACTGTATTTTTTTTATGTTTGTTACCTCAGAACTCCGTCATTTATTAACCGATTTGCACAATTTTTGTTTTGTTTAAAAGGGTATACTTCCAGATTAGTCCCATTTAAATTTCAAAAAAAAAAATACCACCCCTAAGGGTGGAAAAATAGCTAATAATGAATTTAACCTACTTCTAATTGTCATATTGACTTGAAACTTTGCAAGTGTTTCTATTTCCGTTAATAGTACAGTGGTTCGGTATTGTTGACTTGATCTGATGGTAAGGCCAGAAGGTGGATAGGTGGAACTCTTCACCGACTAATAGTAGATACTTTGAGTTTAGGCGTATTTTGTTTGGTTTGACAAGCCTAACACTTTAGAATTCTTACTTTGCTACTACTGTTTACACTAAAAAGGGAAAAATAAAAACTTTTTAACAAAAAAATAAAAACCGACTTCAAACAAAAGCACTAAAAAGTAAAAAATAACTGATTGGTAGTTTTCATTTACTATACATACCTAATCAAATATTTTCGAAGTCGGTGTGCTTTGCTTTGTATGGGCTGGCACCGATTTCGAAAATATTTGATTAGGTATGTATTTAATAGGTAGCTTTAATTACTTAGCCAAATGTCTTGATTGTTGATTTGATGATCTTTGAACTTTTTTTTTCAAATTATCCTAAAATATGCCACACGCTTTGTTCTAATACCATTTTGGAACTTAAGTTTATATATTATATATTTTATTCCATATATAATTTTATTCCAACTTTTTATTTCATAAATTTGGCTGCGTTATTTATAAGAGAAGGCATAACCAACCTAAGCTAGCAGCACCCAGTAGTTTACACATATTATGTAAGCTACTTAATCACATAATTTAATATTTCACATCAATATAATATTCTCATTAGTATCATTGGAAAGCAAAAGCCAATATGAATATCGGTACTGCGATCGCACACGCGAGGTACACAGACGTCCGCGGCTCACATTCCGATATGATCACAAACTGTTCATTCCACAGTGAGTCGTTGTTTCTCAACGGGAGCTCTAATACTACCTGAAAAATGTAAAAACATAAATTATCATTTGTATGAAATATATCCAAAAAACTAAAGAAAAAGGAACATAGTGTAAAATACTTAAGGATAAACTTTCAAGTTTCAACAGTTAATTTGTACCAAACAGACATACAAATAAATAGACAAAATAGACAAGTTCAGATAGCGTTAAAATAGCTTAAATTCGTTAAAAGATGGCGTAAAGGCTTGTTTGCTGTTTGGTAATTTCTAAACCATTCTACTATTATTTTTAACAATAAACATTTAGTTGAAGAAAATTCCACTTTTTAGTGACACTATCCAAATGGAGAGGTTCCTTGGAGTATACTTTTTCTAAAAATTTATTAGAAATTATATAAAAAGTAGCTTACAAGTAAAAATATGGCATAGACCAGTGATATTTTATATATTATCCAGATTATTCTCACCTTTTGGCTAGAGAATATATCAAGTGGAAGATCACATCTCTCAGTGCTGTTTCTACATTCTCTTAAAGTTGTTCTTGCGACGTCGTATCTTGTCTTTTGTAAATCAAAACGTGCTCTTATAAAGTTTCTTTGCACTTCATTCTCTGAGTTGAACACGAAAAAGTAGTAGCCGTTGGCTGGAACTCTACATGTAACGAAATTGAAAGGATTAGGATTATTGTATCAACTGCTTGAATGGATTGGAAGGAAACTTGGATCATACTTCGAAGATTTTTTGGAGAAACATTTAGGATATTTTTCATATCCCTAATGCTTGACCGTGGGGTAATAGTTCAACTTAAATGTTACCTTATTTTAAATGATGCTACGTAAGAAAGTTAAAATACTACTTTATACTTAGATGAAGCCATGAGTAAAAACTACTAACTAATACATATAATAATTAACCTTAATTATGAGTTTTATTCATTAAAAAGACTTTTTCTAAGTTACTTTACCTATAAGTTAAGGCATTAGCTCGCGACGCAAGAAGTGCCTCCTGTTCCGTGGCATGAGGCTGACAAAAAGCATGAGGAGTCAACGGCAGGTTCAATATCAGTCCAGCACATTCGAGCAAAGCTTCTTCACTGCTGGAAAATGAAGACCAGAACTCCGAATTGGACATATCGAAGGCCGTAGTCTCGTTTACTTGGACGTGATGTTCTGCGTATCCATCTGGTTCTAGCCCCTAGAAATTTTCATACAGATTTATTAACAATTGCGATTATTAAATTCTTGTACTTTTAGATTCATATACAGGTTAGTGAATACAAAATAGACAAATCCTTTAGTTATAAAGTCTTGTATATATTATAAAATTTTAGAAGAATTAACTTTGCGTTATTTCAGTTCTGAGTAATAACAAATAGATCGATGAAATACAAAAAATCTCACCTTCAAATTGCTAACCTTAGTAGGCTAGTTTCAATTCCATTTCAAGAAGATTTAGGTATCTTACGTTCTACTAAAGTTTAAAAATAACTTTAACCTATATATAAACAAGTTTGATCTACACTTTAACTTAGGCTTATGCAAGCACGTCTTGTACTTTTTAAAATTTTGTGCTAATTCAGATGTTGTCTTAATATGATACCATCTCTATATACTACTTTTATGAAATATTTCTTACCTCCTCTGCAGCATAGTTCCTTGCTTCATCGTCTGCATTTAGTTCTCTTTTAAGATCAGCTTGCCCGAGCAGTAGCTCGCGTTTACTTCTAGCGTCTTCTCTAGCATCACGGCGTTTTTCTGTGGAAATATTTTATGCTTTTTAAAAGGATAGCACAATATTATCTTTGAATTGAAAATGTAATATTATGAATATTGTTGTATTTTGGGTTATTTGGATGTCATCCATCTATCTCAATAAAATTATTACGTTCAAAGAAAACTGCAATTTTTAAGGCTCCGTACCGCAAAAGGTAAAAATGGAACCCTTATAAGATCACTCTCTTATCCGTCTGTCCATCTGTCTGTCCGTGTGTCACCACCGATTTTCTCAGGAACGTCTAGCAAGTTAAAATTTATACCAGATACTGAGGCCTATAGTATTAGGTGTAAAAAAACCACCCCCCCAACGTGCGTTCACCTTGTCGTGGTGGAGGGGCTCAGTAGTGCCCGGCAATCCAACCGGGCGCGAAGCCAAGAAACGTACAGGGAGGTTGCCCACTTCGGTGGGCGGTGGGAGGTGGCCCTCTTCGGGGGGCGGTGTACCATGCGGGTTGCTCCTGGTACTTCTCTGATAGCAGAGTGGACTGTGGAGCAACCCCATGGTTGTGGTGGTCTGCTTCGGCAGACCTGCCGTCGGGGCGTCGTAGTTGAATGCGTAAGCGATCCTGCGACGCCCCATTAAGACGGGGGAAGGTTTTGTTGGGTTTTAGTGGGTAGTACTGGCTGTATTACGCCGGTGAGTCCCACGCGTCGTGCGTAAATGCATTTCCCAACGTTAAAAAAAAAAAAAAGGTGTAAAAAAACCAATGTCTTGAGTCAACACGATAAAAGATATGCTCAAATTTAAATTTTCGCGAAAACTTGTAAGTGCCAAAATTTACCTTAATTTTCCATTTTTTTTTATTTTTCAGAATTTTCCCTTTACTTGTGCTGTAAGGCCTTGCTTTTAACCAAAATTGACAGTTCTAGGTCAAACGGAAGTACCCTATAGGTTTTGGGTCGAAAACCTGTATGGTAGTTCCCATTGACCTAGAATCACAAAAATTTCCAAAAAGCATGGTCTTACAGCACAAACAAAGGAAAAATACCAAAAAATAAAAAAGTGGAAAATTAAGGAATTGAAGTTAAACAGATTTCCTACAAATTTGTACGGAACCCTCGGAGGGCGAGTCCGACTCGCACTTGTCCGTAATTTTTTTATTGCCATGAAGCTTAACCAAGTAGACAGCCTACAAGTACAATTCCAATTGCACGTACATAGCAAAGAAATTTATGTGAATATCAATTTCTTAGCGTTCCTTGTAGTCAGAACATAAATTATTTAATATCATTATCATATTTTTTTAGTTTCTTTTTAACGTTAAGGAGGTAGTTTAAAAATACTTAAGACTGAAAAATAACTTGTTAACTCACGCTGTCTTTTTGTCCTATTGCTTTCTTCGTCGATCGCTTCGACCAGCACATTCCGGAGATGATCGAGTTGCTCATCGCTGCCCATTACTGTGTCTGTCAACTGTTGTTATACAAATTGAGTTTTTTGAGATTTCCTTCAAATGGCAGTTTTATCTTGCTAAGAAACTTTTAATATATGTTTTTACATATGATCAAAATAATTAAAATGAAACTGAGATTATATTAGTGGGTTATTGAACAACAAATTAAAAAGTTGAAAATACATCACACAGGCTTAAAACCAAAGGTAGACAGACTTTGGCCAAAGTTTTGGGCAAAAATGTGTATAAAAATAGCATAAGTTATAATAGTTATAGTATATTATTATATTATTTTATATATCTATAATATACAGTGAATATGTGTGTATTGTTTTAAATAGGCTTAGTTCAATATTTTGAATCTAGTGCCTTATCCTCGCTTTGCTCGCATCTCTAAGTGCATTTTGTGACTTGATATAAAAACATCGATTTCTAGGAATACATAGATATTGTATATTTAATATAATATATATGTATTAATTTTTTGGCAAACGATCAGCGCTAACTTTTGGCAGATTTTATTGAAATAGTTATTAATATCGACATATATATGTATATAATCTTTACATTCAGCCTCTGTTTTTAGATTTTTTCTGTCTGTCTGAGAATGCATCACGAAAAAACCACTGGACAGATTTTGATGGGTATGATGGTAGCCGGTTATTCTGTCAACATATAGAATACTTTTTACTGCGGAAAAATATCTCATCTCTGAGAAATCTATAGTAAACTTTAAAACGTAGTCGCTAGTTTAATAAAAGTAGTCTGATTAAAATCAAAGTAAGAAATAATAAATTTCACCTGATCTTCCTTGGGTCCGAGGCTGTCGTGGAGACGCACTAACACCCTCTTGCCTCTATCTCCCAATGACTGCAGCTGTTTTAACACTGATTCAAATACTTCCTTTGAATTAGTTTCTTCTTTATTATTCTGTGAATTAAATAAGGTATTCTGGTATTAATACTTAGATTTATGCGAATATTTGACATTTTAAATAAAACTATCTATATAATATGTATATTTAGGAATTTTTCAAAATTCAGCTCCTAAGAGGATAAGTTGGAGTTCGTTGAATATATTTAAAAAGAGTAACATGGCCCAAGTTCTACGTAAGTGCGAACTTACTGTGTGGGCTATAAAGTAGAGATCGGAAATTATACCGAATCCAAAAGGAAATTGTGTATAAATTCATGGTTGGCATAGCAGTGACAACTATAACAGATCTAGAGCGCAAGAGAGAGAACCTAGCTAGAGAATATCCTGCTCTCTTTCCTCCTTTTGAAGGTTGGCACATCTTTAATGAAACGTCACCTAAGTTATGTAACGGGATTAGACAGTGAGTAATTCATTAAACATTGTAGGTTGGTACATGTACTCAGGGGAATCAGTATTCTTATCACTATATCGAATACCACTGATAACCTCTGACTATGACTTTGAATTTAATCTATTGTTATTTCTCCTTAAAGGTTGCTTTATAAGGACCATTAATACATATATCTCAAGGCCAGTCGCTAAAAGTAGCAGGCATAGACTTAAGAGAGGATAGATTCTCACGTTTTAGCAGAACCCAGAACTAGACAGAAATCGACCAATGTGGTATATTTGTGGTTAGCTTTTTTTAGTGTAGACTAAGTTAAGTGAATCTGGAGTTATTATATAAATGAACACATAATATTCAAAATTCGATATGACAACATATAAATTCAATGGAAATTAAAACTGAGCAAATTTTTTGTCTATGCGAGCGTAGCCGCAGGCAGAAAGCTATAGCAAAATAGGAATGGCACTTTATATATGTAACTTAAAAAAGAAGGAGGCGGAGGGAGACTGTAAGCTTCGGGTGTACATAGCATTGGGTCTTTGATACTAACGTAGATATAATAAAGTTGTAATCATTGTGTGCGATTTGTATCATTGTTCTCTCTTATTCTAATTTTGGAAAAATGGCGTAGAAAAATGTTCACAAAATAGGTGGTGGAGCTTGCTAAATACCTAAAATGAAAATTTATTTACAGAATATACCTACGTTTAACATCTTTTAAGATACTGAATATTTTGAGTTACGATCGCTAAAATTAAATTTGTTTTTTATTTACCTTTAAGAAATAATATGAAACACGAAGTTATTTTTGAAAATAAATGTGTATTGCGAAAAAGTGTATGTTTCGTAGTTTGATTGCGGGTTCTGCTTGTGTTACATAACATATAGTTTGCATAATTAATTATATATTAGTTACAGTTACAGTCAGAGCAGCAGTGGGATGATGTGGGGTAGCACATCATCCAAGTGCTGGGCAAAACCCTCTCCTCTACGTTTCCAAGTTTGCGGTCTTGCGCAAGAATAGATCAATTTGGATTGAATTTGCTCAGTTCATCTATTAAAATTACAATTACAGGTACCTATAACTTTTTGTCTTTATATGGTAATAAGTTTTCCCCAAGTTAGAACTTTAACCTTAATTATCAGAATATAAACGGTCACTTCGATAAAATTGACGTGTAGTATAATCGCCTGCAATATATCAGTCTCTGGAATTCTATCATTGGACATGAACGAAAATTTAGTAATTACATTGTTATTAATTAGTGGAAGTGTTCCATCAATTTGGGCACAATGTAATGAAGAAACAGCGATACCTCCACTGAGAAGAGCAGTGTACGATTTCTCTACAGATCTCTTTACCAGATCTGCGCAAGAGAAAGAAAATCACTTCGTGATATCAACTCTGTCGATATGGGCATTACTCTGCTGCACTTCACTAGGTGCTACAGACACAACTCTCAATGAACTTCAGGAAGTACTAAGGCTACATCCGCGTAGGTGCTTCAATAATAATTATCTATCGATAGTAAAAAAACTTGCTGCAAGCAATGACAATAATGTTGAGGTCATAAGAAGTTCCTTCATATATGTCGATGATAAATTTCCAATTTTAAAAACCTTTGAATCAAGAATTAACAAAAAGGGCTTAAGTACTATAAAAAGTATGGCATTTGATAATTCTGACGAAGCAGCACAAAAGATAAATGAATACGTAAGTCAAGCAACTCGAAACACTATAGATGAAGTGGTGTCTCCAGGAGACATTGAAAATTCAGTTATGATTATTATAGATTCAATATTTTTCAATGGAAGCTGGCAAAAGTCTTTCGACTTTACGGCACCAAAAATAAGTCCATTTTACAATGAAAGTGGTCTTCCGATTGGTAATGTAAATATTATGTTCGCATTAGGACAATTCAGACAAAAGCTATTTCAACAGATTGAAGCAGAAGTCTTGGAACTTCCATATGGAAAAGAATCTGAAAGCAGATATTCAATGTTTGTCTTCTTACCCATAGAAGAGGTACCCTTGTACCGTGTAATCGAAAATTTAAGTAAAGTCAGTCTTAGAGGTATAACCGTCTCGTTGCAAAAACAGGAAAAGCATACTGTTATGGTTAATTTGCCACGTTTTAAGATAGATTCCGATCTTAGTAACTTGAAAGAATTATTAACTGACATGGGATTGAGGAGTATGTTCGACATCGCCCAGGCTAGATTCTCAGACATTTCTGATAAATATATCTATGTGTCTAATTTAATCCAAAAAGCACATATTGAGGTAACTGAAAAGGGCGCGGTTTCTAGTGCGCCAACGGAGACTGAATTTTGTATCAGATCTGGTGTATTAGATTGTATGGAGTTCACTGTAAATAAACCATTCTTATTTATGATAGTTGACAAAAAATACGATATATCACTCTTCGCTGGTGCTTATTCGAAACCATCTGTGTATTAAAAATGAAAATTTGACTATCACCTAATGTTGTTTAATATGAAATGTGGATATTTTTGTTCTATAATGTATAAAACACTTTCCACACCAGATAAAAAGTTCCAGAAAAAATTTGTTGGTTAAAATATTCTTACAAATGTCAATAAATGTTCTTTTTTTTCATTTTAATTATTCTTTGATTGTAAAAAAATATAAATGTATAGTTTGTACTTTGTATGATGAGTGACAGATTAGATTCATCATTATCATATTATTCTACATCTCAGATCATAATAGGCGAGAAGGCTAAGAGAGTAATAATATTAATTCAAACTGCCTCGGTGGTGTAGTGGCTAGCATGTACGGCTGCACACGCGGAGGTCCTGGGTTCGAGTCCCGGGTCGGGCCAAGTTTAGTTATTGAGTCTTCCTGTATAGTAAGTCTCAGTAACAGCCCGGAGTTGGGAAGTTGGCGGTGTTTCACCCCCGTGCCTCGGAGAGCACGTAAAGCCGTCGGTCCTGCGCCTTAACTCTCACCGGTCGTGTCGAGTGGTCGTCCCACCGGAGTATGAGAGTGATAGGAATAGAGAGTGCACGTTGTGTCTGCGCGTACACTTGAGCACTATAATATCTCCTGCGCAGTTGGCTAATCTCATTGAGATTGGCCGCCGTGGCCGGAATCGGCTAGGAGAACATCAATATTAATTCATTTCACTTCCTTCTGAATTTTCTTATTTATTCTTTTCTTTTTATTTTTACCCAGATTTATTACCCCATATTGCTTCACATTAAATTCAAACTCAGTTACAGATCCAATATACCTATTATAAATCTTATAGTTTTGTAAAAGGCGATAGTAATACTAATATTTCTTAACATTTATTAGATTCATCTGTATCTATCTATTTATGTAACGCAATCTTTGAACGCGATTTTCACCCACTTCAAAACTTCAGATTGAACTATAACTTTGCATATTCAACAAGGACCAATAACAATACAATAATCTATTAAAAAAATAATTTAATAAACTAAAAAAAACTTGCGTTTATAGCAGATCCAACTAAAAAAGGAATTAAAAAATTGTAGTTAAAAAAACAAAAAAAAAACATGCTCTAATGATGAACCGGACTAAAATGTAAAAAAAATATTTTTAGTATAAGAATAAAGTGATTTATGAGAAAGTTATTGTAATTGTGAAAAAAGCGCGGGGTGCTCGACATCAGTTGTTATAAATATTCCATTGGAAGATTTTTATTATACGATTGTAGAAGGACATCATGCCATATCATGAGTTTGTGAGTTTGCGACGTCGTAGGGGGTAATCTTTGGATCTACTGAACCGATTTAGATGAAATTTGGTAAAAAGATAGTTTGAGACACTTGGAAGGATATAGGATACTTTTTATCTCGAAAATCATCCTTTAAGGGGGTGAAATGGGGATGAAAGTTTGTATGGAGAATCAACCTATGTAGTATAAGATATAGAAAGAACTTGTATCCTTTGCTAGGATTAAGAAATTCAAATATCTAAATCTAATAATATTACTACCACATTATCTACAAAGCTGTGAAAATTATTGTACTGTTTTTACTTCTTCGATAAGAGATATGACGATTGAGAAAATTTCCACACAGCGGAATTTATTGTGCATTATGTATATTTGTTGATTTAGAATCAAGCTATGTTATTTGACCTTTTACTTTTTCCTAGGTTTATATCACCTCCAGGTAAATTTCTAAGAAATGATTAAATTTCTAAGAAATATATTGTTAACTGTAACGCGGGCGTGTCCGCGGCGTGGAGGCAATAATAACAATAACTGCTTCGTGATCTATTTCAGCCAAGGCAGCTAACACCACTAAGACTGTGAAGGAAAAAATATATTCCACTTGCTTTCACTTGTAAAACGGCGATTCCACACAACCGTTGAGAGGTACATTCTCTCCGAATCACGGGAGTATAAAACTGCCACCTTCCCAACTTGTTATACTAATGTATTATAAATATTTGGCCAACTCGAGGCTACAGACCTTACATGCTGGCCGTAAGATTAACAAATTGAAAATATTTTGACTAAGACCTATTGACTCAAGCCTTAAATTTTTGTCCGTCGGTAAGTTTTCCTTTCCTTTATATATTATTCCTTTATATATTATAAATTAAAGTCCCCCCACCGCGCTGAGTTTAAGTGTGTTCATAATAAATTTCTAAATGAATAGTTTCTAATTTCAGATATTACTGTACGGATTTTCATATGGTTTTTACAAATAAAAAGAGGCTTATCTAAAAAGAATTTATGAACATTGTGAATTAAATCAGACCTTCTTCTGTAATATAAATGCAAAGGGACGTTCGTTGACGTACGAAGCTCCATTTAACTAAACCATTATCTTACAAAGCTACGAGTAAATGAGATCTAAGCATGATATCATTCGATATTTAACGCCTTAACCGATATTGACAATTGTAATTTTTTTAAATCCATATTAATATTATAAATGTGAAAGTGTTTGTTTATTTGTCCTTCTTTCACGTCGCCACAGTGTGACAGATTGGCGTGATTTTTTGTGTGGAGATAGTTGGAGGGCTGGAGAGTGACATAGGCTACTTTTTACGCGGGAGATTATCTAATTCTCACGGGATAGCACGTTATAATACAATCCAAAAAAATATTTATGATCAGAATTATTTGAAACCTGGTATTAATGCTCTTCAATAAAATTAAACAAATATGTGTTTTAGCATTTTTCGAAATTCATCATATAAGGGGGTAAACTAGGGGATGAAAGTTTGTATGAAACTACCTTTTTAGAGACTTTTTTATAGTTTTAGCGCGAGCGAAACCGCGGGTTCTGCTAGTTACTTAATAAATATAAACTTACCGATTCATCGTGAGTGGTGTTTTCTTTGACATGCGTATCGTTCATAATCTTATTGTCAATTGTCTTTTTATCAAATTCTTTGCTGGATTTAGAATTGATAACGTTGTTTGTATGCACATTTACATTGGTATTATTTATTTTATTATCTGCAGTTTCAATTTTTGGCTTTTCTGTTTCTGCTTTTTCCACGGTAGAGTTTGTTTCTTGTTCGCTCATGTTACCGTCTAAATCTGAAAATATTATATAGAGAAATGAAATATTGCCTAAAAATTGCTGTTTTCATAATATAAATGAACTTAACATCTAAATTTTGTTTCTTTTTATGTTATTCCAATGCGGTAGTATAAATAAAGCTTATTGTTTAGATATCTGTACCACCTTTCTGTATGATGGGTGTTTTAAAAGCGATACTAGTCTGAGACTTTACAATGACGTTGTAATTATTGATAGATCTCTACAACCTATCTATCAGAGGTTTTTCTTATTAGAAATGGACTTTTGACATAAGTTCAATACAAATTATATGAAAATCTCTTTAGAAAGGAAAACTACAGATGCACCGTAAGGCAAAATTTTTATTTTACAAAACTAATCTATAATGCATCGATATTTTTTATAATCTATAATATACTACAGATGAGTTTCATATATTATCAGTATACTAAGGCATAGTCTAAATGCTGACGTTTTTGCAAAATTAACATTCAATTATACAGGTTTTATTAATGTTTATTAATATAACAAATTCTAAGATACTAGATAAATATCAAATTTATAATTAATTGTAAGATAAAATATGGTGGCAAGTGTTTCATAATAAATATTTTGTACATAATTACTATCTAACGCAAATAACGATACAATAGCTTAATGCAATCTTGGGATGTGTTTACATAACTTTTGGATATATATTTTGTACGATAAACAGGGTTTGTGGAAACTTCCCTCATTAAATTATGATATTTTCTAATTCACTGATAAATAAATATATTTATTTCTGGAGAAGGGTCATACGATCCATATTCATTTTTTTCTTGTTAAAGCTCTTTTACTTTTAGCATTTTTTTATAAGTACTAACTGGCTACGAAGAGTATATCACAAATCTTATGTATAATAATCAAAACTTAACATTTGTTTTTCAAGTGCCTATTACTATGCTGAATGGTGGGTTTGATTGGTTCAAGTCTGATCAGTCAAGAACAATTTTTTGCTACATCATACAAAATCAGCAACATCCATTCAAACAACTGAATGTCTAAACTTTTATAATATTATAAAATGCGAAAGTTTGTGAGGATGTCTGGATGTTCGTTACTCTTACACGTAAAAACTACTGTATGGATTTTAATGAAACTTTACAATAATATAGCTTATACATGAGAATAACATATAGAATACTTTTTATCCTGAAAAAATGTACGGTTGTCGTGGGATGTGTATTCAACCCTTTTTAACGTCGCAAAGCTGGGCACGGGAGGCCCGTCAATACGAGGGGGATCAGGCCATAGTCCACCACGCTGGCCAAGTGCGAGTTGGCGGACTTCACATGTCTATCGAAAACTTGCTAGGTTCTCTCAGACATGCAGGTTTCCTCACGATGTTTTCCTTCACCGTAAGGCAAGTGGTAATCATGTTAGAAATGATTCGCACATGAAAATACGCGTTATCACTGGGCTACCACTGCCTCAAAGTTCCTTCCTTACGTGAGATAGATTTGTTGTGATAATATTAGTAAGATAGGCAACGTCAGTGTTTTCAGTACTTAGCTTTCTCTAATTACTCACAAAGAAGGTGCTATAAATCGAGAACCACTTACATAACATACATCATGATTCTTTTTTTAAAGAAATAATTATTTAAACTAGATTTTAATATAGATATTTTTGGTTACAATAGACAACAAAAGCATGCGTGGTAATAAATTGATTTATTTCACAAAAAGAAGCGAGAGTGATTGAGTAGCGAAAGTGTGAATAGAAAAATATAAGTGAAAGATGACATTGAGAACTTAATAAAACCAAAAACACAGAGAGTGGACTGAGTGTTTTATTGCCAGCCGTCAGTTAAACATGGCGGACAGGCGCGACAGAGACAACACGAATGTGCGGCCAGAAATCTTCTGCATTGATTGAAATACGATTAACGAAGATAGATATTTATAAACATTTTTTTCTATTACACCGCGTTATAATTTTATTACATACCACATACATTCAAATAGGAATAAAAGACAGGCTATTTACATATATGAATATAACAAATTACCTTTGAAAAACAGCCATCGTCTCTCGTCTCTATCAACATTGGCGTCTCTATGTCGATGTAGAGCTGGCAGAGACATGAGGTGAGACGGCGGGTGGTAATACTTTTGAGATTCGATTTTAGCTGCTTCTCGTATTGCATGCAATCTTTCCAAAATTTCTCGAAGTTCCTGTGAAAATATATTACATAATATTATGTTAATTAAACTTTCTTTTTAATTTTTGTTATTATATTTGTACATAACAAAATTATGTACTTAGCATGTATATAAGGATTATGTACATATGTATAATATGTAGTGTGTACATAGTGTTATCACTATAACATAAAATTACTTAGTAAATAGCTTCATGCTTTATCACAGACAGCTTCATTCTTTGCCTTTTTTTAGTCATTTTCGGCAGCAGTTCGAAATATGTACATTTTGTTTGTACTTGTTAATAGATATAAATACTTATTAGATAGCGTTAGCCATGTAAATATGCTTTCGTGATTTTTTCCGACGTTTTTATATATAATTATTCTGCTATTCAGTGCAGAGACAAATCCAACAACGTTCACGTATATATATATGTATATATATATATGTATATGTTTATAATAATTAAAACAAAGATGAAAATGATTTACGATAAAATAAATAGATTCAATCAGTAAGCTTAATTCTGTACCTTTGGATCATGATCAGTAACATCAACAGTTGGTACGTTACCAGTCGACGTCGCATTCGCTGTTCGACTTGGGTCGTGAAACTTTATACCAGCTTTATGCCTTTTCATTGTATCTGTAAAAATAAAGTAAGTTATGTACTTAAATAGTAGGGTTTTCAAAAGTTTTTGTAATAATTTTTACGACTTGTATACAAGTTTTGCTTAAAATTATCAAGTAGATTTGTTTACAATATTGGTTCAAATTCAATTCCAGTTAAGATTTCTAGTCGAGTCAATACCGGTTTTATAGTTATTTATCAAACGTACATATATTATATGTCTTAATTATCATGCAAATAGACGTCCTGTTGAATATTTATATTATAGGCTAAGTCAGCTTTATGTCTTGTAGTATAAGTCAGTATACGAGTATACATATATGCAAGATAACTGCCTCGGTGGTATAGTGGCTAGCAAGTACGGCTGCACATTCGGAGGTCCTGGGTTCGAGCCCCGGGTCGGGCCAAGTTAAGTTATTGAGTCTCTCTGTTTAGTAAGTCTCAGTAACAGCCTGGAGTTGGGAAGTTGGCGGTGTGTCATCGCTGTGCCTCGGAGAGCACGTGTCGCGTCGGTCCTGCGCCTTAACTCTCACTGGTCGTGTCTCGTGGCGTCCCACCGGAGTATGAGAGTGACAGGAATAGAGAATGCACTTGTGTCTGCGCGTACACTTGTGCACTATAATATCTCCTGCGCAGATGATGAGTCTTAATGAGACTGGTCGCCATGGCCGAAGTCGGTCGTTGGTCATTATAATACATACTTATATAGGCGAGAATATTCGTATACTATAATATAACATTATATTATTTAAGTTGAGGATAAAAGGCCCATTTAGGTCACGTCATACTGTTGTTATCACTCTAATATAAGTGGTATGATAAGAACAGAAAATCTAAATAGAGGCTTAAATAATTGAATTATCGTTTAAGTATAATAATATATTGCTAGGATTAGTACATAATACGTATATAAACTTTCGATTTTATGTAACCACATATTCTCTTCGCTCTGGTGCACTTATCTATCTGTGTACTAAATTTCATTTACATTTGCCCAGCTGTTTGAACGTTAAGGACTAACAAACATACACTCATACAGACTTTTCAGTTTATAATAATAGTCCCACTAGTTTCTAAGGTTTAACTTAAGTCGTTTTTGTTCGTAATGATCTAAGCGATAATTATTCTTTATTTTGTTACACAGATCTTATACTTATTTAACACTAGCAGAACCCGCGACTTCGCGCGCGCTAAAACTACAAAAAAAAATGTCTACTACAAAAGGTAGGTTTCATACAAACTTTTATCCCCTATTCTACCCCCATGGGGGGTGAATTTTGAAAAATTATTCCTTATTGGATGCCTTCGTCATATGAGGAATATGGGTGCGAAACTTCAATTTTCTAGCCTTAAGGGTTTGGCCTGTGCGTTGATACACCAGTCAATCGCATTTGCCTTTTATATATATGGATTTTTGTGGGATATAAACAAAATTAAATACCTGGATCATTAGCTTTTCCATCTTCCTTATTCAACTGGGTTATCTTTTCCAGCAGTGTAGTATTTGACAGCAGACCAAGTTTATGAGCTTCAAGAAGTTCGTCCAATTCTTCTGAAGAGTCATCTCCAATGTACGCACAATCCTGCAGATGTTTGTATCCCTTTATCATAATTAGAGAAGCACCGGGCCATCTGTTCCAATGGAAAATAAATAAGTATTTTTTTTCGTAGTGGCTTTACAATGGTGTTAACAGACATAAATAATCTTTACTATGAAAGGCGAATGTGTTTATTGGTTTCTTCCAATTTCATTTGGTAAAAGATTTATAGATTATGGAAGAAAAAGTAGCACAGGCTTTCTTATAAACTAGAAATACTTCAAGGGTTCCGTAATATATTGCATAGTCGCAGTCAAAAGTAGTGAGTCACAAGAGATAGACATAAGCCAATAGAATGTAATCTGTATATATAAAAATGAATACAGATATTTGTCTATGTGTTCCTATACTATTGATACCAAAGGTGCTATTTAGATTATGACGAAATTTTAGTAATTTTTGGAGCGCGCTTGCTAATGTTCTTTACACTACGACTAAGAACTACATCACTGGTTTAAAATAGAATAACAAATAACATATAATTTTTTTCTTTATATTTGGCAGGAGAGAGATTTAAGTAACAAAAATATTAAAACTTTCTTTTCGGATTTTTCGCGAATTAAATTTGATTTTTAGTTTCAGACGCTTCGAATACTTACAGCATGGTCACGCGAGAAACTTTTTCGGAATACTAATTTTATTTAAAATGTCAAGTACTCACGTAAATCTATGAAAGTATGATGTATTCCACATTTCTCACCTGACACAAGAAGAAACGGTTACAGTAGATCCCTGTAAGAGATAGAAGCCCCAATACTCTTTCATATCATCTTCGAGCTCCAACTCCCTCGTCATAGATACTGGTATTAACTCTTCAGTTAGTTCAGGCTGTCCCGGTACGACGAACGCGTTGAATGTTGCATTTGACTTCACCACTTGCCTCTGTTGGAATAAAATAAATATTCAAACAAAAATAAAATAGCCAGAAAGCCCTAAGATATTTTTAAAAATAAGTGCTATTAAGAATTATTAAGAGTAGCTTTGTGTTGACGAAATATCTAACTTTTACTCTACAAAGGATATTGTTATTAATAAATAATAATAATAAATAAATAAATATGTTTGGGACATTAACACACCATCTAGTTCCATGGTAAGCTACAAGGCTTGTGTTATGGATACCAGATAGTTGATACACTACATATATATATATATAACTTTAAATACATACATATTATAAATATAAACACCCATGACTAGAGTACAGACATTCGTGCTCATCATACAAATGAATGCCTTCAGCGGGATTCGAACCTGCGACCGCTGGCACAGCAAGTAGGGTCGCTACAAACTGAGCCAAACGTGTCGTCGAATCATCTCCGCGTGAATTTCCGGGAAATTAATCGTTAAAATACATACGGGTGTGTATGCGCCTATCAAAGGAATAAGCAGAGTATGTTTTATAGCCTATACTCGCTACAACTTTCTAAAATTTTCATTCTTCAACATGTCTTATAGATTTCTGATTATATTTATTCAGTAAGACCCAGGTTACTGTACTTCCATTCAATATTATATTAGTGTTATCTATCTATGAATAGACGAAGTCACTCTTCACCTGTCTTTTTTTTATTAGAAAGAGCCATTTGGCTTGTCACTCATTCATACGCATATATGTAATATCAATCATGAACTGTTGCAGAAATATATTTTCTAAAACTATCATTACAACAGATGACATGCGATAAGATAAAAATCATCAAAATATATCCATTTGTATGCATAAGATATCTTAGAATTCATATCGGATTGGAATCATCAGATGCCATTGGATTCATATGAGAATTTAAACTACTGTATAGTAAAAATGTGTGGGGATAGAGACAATCGTTTTAAAGCATTGTTCAAGAATTCTTAAAAAAGTGTAGAATAAAAGTACAAATAGGTATGCTTTTATAGATTTATTACTTATATATATATATATATATATATATATATATATATATATATAGCTACCTTTCCGTAATTTTTAAATCATGTAATAATATTGACATTAAAAATTTTCCATCGTTCCTTAGAAAATTATGCGTTTAAATTTAATAAAAGGGAAATCAATTACGAAAGCACGTGAATATAGAGCTTTGTTTACAGACAACAATACATTGCTGTATTATTATATAACAACAGTTATTCATTATAATATAACGACCGATAGCTCGTATCTTATCAAATGTCAGTCTCGATAGAGTCAAATGTAGAGCGGTTGTTGAAATTTGTTGTAATTGTTGATTTTGTCTCAGTATTAGAGAGTTTGAGATGATAAATATATTTAGTACAATTGACAAGAAAGCCTACTAACGTATGTATGTTAAACTATTGAATTGGTATATTTTATATATTATTTCAATCTATTTTAATTATTTTTTAGTAATAGAGACTGTAAAAAGAGAGAGTTTTGTGAGAGTGAGAGAGAGAAGATGATTATGAAAAAATCTGGAAGAGTAATTTAATATAATGGTACATTAAATCTTAGAAATTGGAGCAAAATATTTTTATTATTATTAGCATATAATAGAAAATATTTAAAAGTATTTACTTTAAATACTTATTATTTTTATTGTATTTAAATGTTAGAAATAAACTATTGTGTTTTAAAGCGTGCTTAATTTATCTCTTACTCATATTTTTTACGGCAAATTACTTACATAATTAAGCCATGATATTTTAGATAAGTTCCAGTCAAAACCAGTGTTTTGAGATTAATAGTTCATGGGGTTCAATATCTTTCAGATAAATTGTGTCGAATACCTTTTAGAATAGACATTTCTACATTTTTTGTGTGTGTTGTTATGTGTGTTTTTCCATATATTAAATTAAAATAAAATTATGTAACATAACCAAAAATACTATATTCAGGATTTATTCTATGGTAAAAGAGGAGTGTTGTAAAGACGTTATCCTACCAGTACGGTTGTTTTACCCAATGAATACATCGATTTCATAATACTTTCTTAGATTTACGCGAATCTTTGACATTTTAAATTTAAAAAAAACTATGACGTTGGAGATGTCTAAAACCAAGAGAGACTAATGCCTCGTGACCATGATTGCTGGAAGCACTCGAACGTTAAAATCCGAAAAAGATTTATTTAAAATCGATTTCAATAAGGGTTTCTTTATTAAATTTTTATTGTTTATATTATTATATCGTATTATCTGTTTTTCTATAACTACAGAAATATTTTTTTTTTATTTATTTATTTATTTCAGGCAATATTACATAGGGATCTTAAATATGTAAACAGAGGCCCATAGCATATATACCTTAAAACTAACATATATATTAATTATAATAACAATTTTTATCTTATTCTACTCTTGCATGAAATGTGAAACCTCTCGGACCAATCGGATTACTATCATAAATGGGATAGTTCGTGTGTATGTTTGTTTGTTTACAAATAGATGGTTTTGGGTTACTTGTAGTAAGATAAGTCATAACTTACTCAAATAAAAGACAGTTTGATCGTGTAGAAAAAAATATTTTTCAGTACAATAAAGTGTAACGAGTAAAGTGAAAAGTCTTGTAAAATGTATGATATAAAGTGATTTGTAAAAAAACTATTTTTTATTTTCCCTGACTGCTTCACAAAAAAAAAATCTTTTCGCTCGTTATAAGGTATAATGGAGCAAACATTGTTATTTGTATGACTCATTAATTTAACGAGTTCCTGTATCACTTCATTTGCTAGAGCAAAAATTTCTTATTGTTTAAGTGTTTATATACTAATTATATCAACAGTTTTAAGTCATTAATCGTATGTATGTACTCACTCTCATATGTTAATAACATATTAGTTACCTATCACCCAAGTTTTGCCAAATCTACTCTCATTTACAATTTCAATTTTAATCTACATTGTGTTCTGCTTCATAGCCTATTATTATGCAGTGAGTTCCGGTTCCGGTAGTGAGAACGTAAACACGCATAATAGTCAGCTCTGTCGAAAAAATTCACAAACACTACAAAAAACAGTCAGTTAACTATAAAACTGCGATAATATCTCAAGAAAATCATCATAGCTTCATAACTACGAAGAAATCTTAGTGGAAACTGGAAAAGAGTGCAATTAGTGAAAACAGTAACATTCTAGTAAATACCTACGTATACCCCCAAACTACAAAGTGCTCGTCGATCTAATAAATTACAAACGCCATCATAGATTATAGAACGTACTTCTGTCATTAGTGATTGTAGTGCCAACCTTACAATAACGAATAATCTCGTACTTTGACAGTTAAAGTGTTGCCAGCAAAAAAATAACAAATTCTACCAAAATATGGGTCAAAATATGGAATGGTTACTAACGAAATTAGATGAGAAGTTGAATCAACAAGCTTTAATAATAACCACCAATGTCACCAGTAATGTAATGCAAGCACTAGATGAAAAAATGAAAACACTTTTAGAAGAAAACAATACCCTAAAAACAAGAATAACACAGCTAGAACACAAGATAGAATCTATGGAAAAAGACAAGAGAAAAAACAATCTAGTATTTTTCGGTATAGAAGAGAAAGAGAAAACAGAATATGAATTAGTACACTATTTAAAAGATATAATAGTAGAGATGGGCGTACACCTAGAAAGTCATGAGATAGCTAAAATCTATAGAATTGGACAGCCTTCAAACAAAAACCGACCAATTGTAGCCTCTTTTACAACAACATGGAAGAAACACCTAATTCAAAGGAGTAAATCCAACCTCCCCCAGGGTATCTATCTCAAAGAAGACTATCCTAAAGAGGTTTTGGAAACTCGCAAAAAACTTCTACCCTTATTGGAAGAAGAAAGGAAGAAGGGAAACTTGGCATATCTGAAATACAACAAGCTAGTAGTAAAAAATCCAAAAGATTCAAATCGAGAGAAGAGGAAAAGAGATAAGACGGAATCACCAGAAGCACCACCAACGAACATCAAGAAGAAACAGATTAATGACAAACGTGGCCCATCTAACGACTCACCTGCAAATAATTCACAAGGAATAGTAAAACCAGGCATACTCAACTATGTAGTACGAGGAAGAACATCATCGCTGTCAGAGCCAAAAACAACAAAAAACTAAAAAAATCCTCCTGCAACTGGAACCCGAATAAGAAAAATCTACCAACACAGTCAAATGGAATAACAGAAATCAGCACCCCAAGCCGGTTGGTCACCGTGGGGGAAGATGACCACAACCCTCCACTAAATAAAACCACTAAACACAACAATAGAAAATCCAAAAATAAGAACAATGAACCAGAAAAATTACTAAATTTGAAAATATGCACCTACAACGTAAGATCACTATCATCAACAGTAAGAATGCTAGAATTAAATATTGCAATAGAAAAAATCAATTGGGACATTATAGGGCTCGCAGAAATTAAAAGAAAAGGATGTAATATAGAAGAACATAAAGAATATATATTCTGTTACATAGGTGAGGCAGAGGGGCTTCATGGTGTAGGCTTCCTAATAAAGAAAACCTTGAAGACCAACATTGTAAGCTTTGTAGGTATATCAGAGAGAGTAGGCTTGCTAAAGATGAGCTTCAAAGATGTGCCACTGTCGATTATCCAAGTTTACGCCCCTACAGAGAGTTCTAGTGAGGAGGAAATAGAAAAATTTTACATGGACATACAAAAAGCGCAGGAACAAGCAGATAAGACCTTACTAGTAATAGGAGATTTTAACGCAAAAATCGGGTACCCTAAACATGAAGAACATATGATAATGGGAAGATATGGATACGGGCAACGAAACTCACGAGGCGAACGACTAATTCAATACGCATACGAAAATAAACTGTCAGTGATGAACACATACTTTAAGAAAAAAAACTCTCGCAAATGGACCTGGATATCCCCAGACCAAAACACTAAAAACGAAATCGACTTTATACTAAGTTACAACCCGAAAGTAATCACAAACTTAGAAGTACTGAACAGAATAAACTTCCCATCCGACCATAGAATGGTTAGATGCTCTATGAATTTTCAGACACCAAAAACCAACAGGAAGTCATTTAAAGCCCTAAACAACATGCTAAAGTCTACAAAAGAAAACGAAACTTATCTAAAAAAGCTAAAAGGTAATGTAACAATACTAAATGAAACAATGAAGAACATAGAAGATGTACAAGCTCTGAGCACCGCACTGGAAAAAACAATCACAAATAGTCTAGAACGGGACGAAGAAATAAAAACCAGGCACAAAAAACCCAAAATTATTAGCGACCAAACATTGAAAATGATTTCTCGACGTACAGAACTCCTAAATAAAAAAGATAAATCTAAAGAAATGAGGCATGAATTAAAGGAACTATACAAAAAGACAAACAGAGCAATTAGGCAAGATTATGAAAACCATAGAAAAATAATCATAGAAAGAAATATGGCAACATTTAGAAGCTCAAAGAGAGCCTTTAAAGAACTGTCATCGCATAAAAAGTGGATACAGGGCCTAAATGATGGAAAATATGAAATAAAAAACAGAGAAGACATAATAAAGCGCGCAACAGTATTTTACTCAGATCTCTACAGAAGACCAACCCAAGAAGGAGCTCAGAAAGTCGAACGACCCGAAACTAACATTATAATAGAATCTCAATTAAAGGAAAACTCACTAGATCCTATAAACGAACACGAGATAGCAAGACATATAAAGAGATTAAAATCTGAAAAGAGCCCTGGACCTGATAAAATAACTAACGAAGCCTTGAAACTTGGTGCACATATTCTGGTACCATACCTGACAAAACTTTTTAACATGATAGTAGAACAAGAACAAATACCGAAACAATGGTGCAGATCATACATAATACTGCTTTATAAAAAAGGGAATCCGCTTGACATGAACAACTACAGGCCTATCAGTCTATTATCTACAATCTATAAGCTGTTCTCTTCAATTATTTTAAGTAGAATATCACCAGAAATCGATAAAAAACCAGCCAATAGAGCAAGCTGGCTTCCGTCCACACTACTCAACAATAGACCACATACATGTTACAGAACAAATAATAGAAAAATATAAAGAGTACAATAGGCCACTGTACATAGCATTTGTAGATTATTATAAAGCATTTGACAGCATATCACACCCATCTATATGGAAGGCTTTGAGAAAAAAATAACATAAATGAAAAATACATAAATATAATAAAGAATATATATGCTAAGAGTGTAAGCTTAATAAAACTAGAAAGGCAGGGAGAAGAGTTCGAAATTTGTAAAGGAGTGAGACAAGGCGATCCTCTCTCACCCAAACTATTTATAGCTGTCCTCGAAAACATATTTCAAAGTCTAAAGTGGAAAAACAACGGCATATGGATACTAAATAAAAGGCTAACACACTTGAGGTTCGCAGATGACATAGCTCTGTTCAGTGAATCTGCAACAGAACTAGAAAACATGCTACAGAGCCTGAACACCCAAAGCCAAAAAATAGGTCTAAAAATGAATGCATCAAAAACAAAAATAATGACAAACAGCTCTAGAAAACCAATCACAATAGGAGGAAAATCAATAGAATATGTGAATGACTATGTATATTTAGGAAAACAAGTCTCCTTTGAAGCAAACAGTAATGAAAAAGAAATAGATAGAAGAATAAACATAGCATGGAAAAAATTTTGGGCTCAAAAAGAAATTCTTAAAGGAAACTACAGCCCAAAGATGAAAAAAGTAATAATGGACTCGTGCATCCTCCCAAGTCTTACCTATGCAAGCCAAACATGGGTATATACAGAAAGAGTAAAAAATAAAATTATGTCCTGCCAACATGCAATGGAGAGAAGTATCCTAAAATTGAGGAGAATACAAAAAACAAGAAATACACACATCCGCAAGAAAACCAATGTAACTGATGCACTCCTTCATAGTCTAAGGCAAAAATGGAAATGGGCAGGACACATAGCCAGATATCAGGACAAAAGATGGACACATCAAATAACAAAGTGGAAAGGTCCAATAGGCAAGAGGAATGTAGGTCGACAAAGAAAAAGATGGCAGGATGATATCAAAAACATAGCAGGAGATGAATGGATGAAAGTTGCCAATAACCGCGAGGAATGGTGCAAGTTGGAGGAGGCTTTTACCCAAGAGGGACTACACACCAACAACAAGTAAATTGTACTAATTTCTTTTACTTTCATTTTCTAAAATTTTTTTGTAAAATGTGTAGACAAATAAAGCTTTATTATTATTATTATTATTATTATTTTAGATAAGTTCCAGTCAAAACCAGTGTTTTGAGATTAATAGTTCATGGGGTTCAATATCTTTCAGATAAATTGTGTCGAATACCTTTTAGAATAGACATTTCTACATTTTTTGTGTGTGTTGTTATGTGTGTTTTTCCATATATTAAATTAAAATAAAATTATGTAACATAACCAAAAATACTATATTCAGGATTTATTCTATGGTAAAAGAGGAGTGTTGTAAAGACGTTATCCTACCAGTACGGTTGTTTTACCCAATGAATACATCGATTTCATAATACTTTCTTAGATTTACGCGAATCTTTGACATTTTAAATTTAAAAAAAACTATGACGTTGGAGATGTCTAAAACCAAGAGAGACTAATGCCTCGTGACCATGATTGCTGGAAGCACTCGAACGTTAAAATCCGAAAAAGATTTATTTAAAATCGATTTCAATAAGGGTTTCTTTATTAAATTTTTATTGTTTATATTATTATATCGTATTATCTGTTTTTCTATAACTACAGAAATATTTTTTTTTTATTTATTTATTTATTTCAGGCAATATTACATAGGGATCTTAAATATGTAAACAGAGGCCCATAGCATATATACCTTAAAACTAACATATATATTAATTATAATAACAATTTTTATCTTATTCTACTCTTGCATGAAATGTGAAACCTCTCGGACCAATCGGATTACTATCATAAATGGGATAGTTCGTGTGTATGTTTGTTTGTTTACAAATAGATGGTTTTGGGTTACTTGTAGTAAGATAAGTCATAACTTACTCAAATAAAAGACAGTTTGATCGTGTAGAAAAAAATATTTTTCAGTACAATAAAGTGTAACGAGTAAAGTGAAAAGTCTTGTAAAATGTATGATATAAAGTGATTTGTAAAAAAACTATTTTTTATTTTCCCTGACTGCTTCACAAAAAAAAAATCTTTTCGCTCGTTATAAGGTATAATGGAGCAAACATTGTTATTTGTATGACTCATTAATTTAACGAGTTCCTGTATCACTTCATTTGCTAGAGCAAAAATTTCTTATTGTTTAAGTGTTTATATACTAATTATATCAACAGTTTTAAGTCATTAATCGTATGTATGTACTCACTCTCATATGTTAATAACATATTAGTTACCTATCACCCAAGTTTTGCCAAATCTACTCTCATTTACAATTTCAATTTTAATCTACATTGTGTTCTGCTTCATAGCCTATTATTATGCAGAAGAGTCATTCCGTTTTCTTGTAAATTATATTTCTAAGTGTAAAAAATGGACATATTAAAATATAAATTCTCCAAACAAAATAAATTACAAAGATGCTTTTTGTAAAATATTTTTTGTATTATTTGGGTCGGGCATCAATATTCAGTGAGGTTTTTGTATCGTGATACTACGAGTATATTCAGTAGTAGCTCAAAGTTGGAAACTTGGTGGTGTTTACACCCCCGTGCTTCGGAAATTACGTTAAGATGTCGATTTTGGACTTCCACTGGAATTTGAGAGTAAGGGAATGAGAGTTCATATATTATGTTAGCGCACTTTTTGCACTATATTATTAATATACCCCACGCAGTTTGTTAACCTCAGTGAGATGGGCTGTTGATACTTGTATTCAGCCCTTTTTAACGTCCAAGTGCTGGGCATAGGCCTTACGGGTCAATACGAGGGGGATCAGGCCATTATCCACCACACTGGCCAAGTCTGTGTGGGTGAGCTGAGCATGTCTTTCCAAAATTTACTAGGCTTATCTCAGACATGCAGGTTTCGTCACGATATTTTCCTTCACCAAAAGACAAGTATAACCATGTTAGAAATGATTCGCACATCAAAATGTAAGAGATGTGGGACCCAGGTCTTGAACTCGATTCACTCGGTTCGGTCCCAAGCACTTGCGTTATACACACTAGACTAGGCTACAACTGTCTTAGATATTTATATAAAGGGTTCTTTTTAGATAAACATTTTGTAGCGTAAGGGATTGAACAAAGCAGGATAAGTAAATAAATATACTAAGTATAGTCCTACCTGACACCAAGTGGGAGAGATTTTGCTATCTATCAGACGCATATCCGTCATACCCATCGGATACATTTGCCCAGAAAAAGCGCGATATCTGAAAAAATATTAGAATAATAATGAAACTGACTGGGAAAAAAGGAGGAAACTGTGTATGTTTGTTATATTTGCTTGCTTGCTTGTCTTTATGCTAAACCTAGCGACTCACCCTCGTTTCGCTCGGGTTCGTTCTTAGCTTGATTTCAAACTATTTTCTTACCAAATTTCATCTAAATCAGTTCAGTAGATCCAGAGATTACCCCCTACAACGTCACAAACTCACAAACTCACAAATTTTACCTCTTTATAATGTTAGTATAGATGGCTGAAATTCTTTGGATCAAATTTAGTAACGTGGAGTAACACATAGACCACCCTAGAGACGCACGCAAAATATAGAAAATAGCTTTAGTATATATTTGTATTGCAATTAGAAGACTTCTGCCAACACACTTCAAATCACTTAATTAACACTTTAAGTAGTAAAAGATGATAATGTTTGAGCTTTTTAATTGCAAATTATACTAGAGAATTGATTGGGTGGATTTAAAATCAAAGAATTATTATAGTCAGCTAGTCTATATCGAAAGATGCAGCTTGGATTCTCGAAAATAAACTTATTATATTTTATAAAGAATTTACACAGAGATCAAACTTACGACCTACTTGTACATATGTACATGTTTCAATTCAAATGATAAAAAAAAAACCTAAAAATACATTTTTGACAATACAATGCTATCAGTCTTTATAAAATGTTTTAACTGGACGGAAGTTTTAATTTAAATGTGAGACGTTGATTTATTACTTGAGTACGCTTTACAAGAGAGAACCAGATTTTGCTGATTTCAATTTTAAGGACTATCCTACATACATAATAATATAATGTACATTCAGTACAGCACTAAAAGGGCTCGTTATTTTAATTGTATAATATATTATAATACAAGATATGACAAAAATATATGAATTTTTACTATTACAAATTACAATCCGCCCGCGTTTAGATGACGAAAAACTAAATTCTTAGATTTTACATATTAGTATATTCTTACAATGCAGATTTTGTATTTTTTCTCAGAAATGAGATATTTTCCCGCGGTAAAAAGTATTCTATATGTTGACCCGGATAATCAGCTATCATCATACCAAATTTCATCAAAATCTGTCCAGTGGTTTTCTCGTGATGCGGTAACAGACAGACAGACAGACAGACAAAAATTCTAAAAACTATAGATTTGGACTCTGTATCCATAATAATGTCTATTTGAATTAGATTTCCCAAAAAATATTTAATGTACAGATTCGACTTAGAATTTTTATTATATGTATAGATCATAAATACAAAAGGCATCTAAGACTGGGCTGACGAACTGACGAACTCAAGTGAAGCAATATTAAATCGATAGTAGTTATAAGTATTATAAAAATAGATATACAAATTATAATTTGAACTGAAAAATTGATATATTTACCTCATGTGCAGTGGAATGAATATAAACAAACACGGTAATACGATCATCAACGATAGAAGTCGGCATAATCTGATCGGGCCCTTATTGCAGGACCGCGAGGCTCTTTGACTGAACTGTCTGGTTGGGCGTGGGCGGGGAAGTCCAACTAAAAATAAGGCAAATTCACATTACACACTATACAATAATCTATAAAAGTAAAAAAAAGACTTTTTTTTTTCATTTACATAGAAGCACTTATATTTTTTTTTAATTTACTTTAATTTATGGTATTTTAACATTTTGTTTTACATGTAATGTATTATATCTTGTTAACACCATAAAGCTAATTATTATTATAATTACGCAATTCGCGTTATCTTTTTGAAGATTAGAGTGAATTTAGTTTAAATTTCATATAAAAATTTAAATATCATATTAGGTTCATTAATATTTGACTTATGACCAAGCGGAGCGAGTGTATGCCGCTAGTATTATGTATACTAATATTATAAAGAGGAAAGATTTGTTTGTTTGTTTGTATCAAATAGGCTCCGAAACTACTGAACCGATTTAAATGAAATTTGGTAAGAAGATAGTTTGAGACCCTGGGAAGGACATAGAATAGTTTTTATCCCGGAAATTATCCCTTAAGGGGGTGAAAATGTAGATGAAAATTTGTATGGGGAAGCAACCTAGTAATAAATATGAAGACAGATATATGTACCAACAATTGTTTATGGATAAATAAAACAATCTACTTACATTCTAAAGGCACTAATTCTTGTGGGTCCATGTTTTGTAAATTTCTGTATACATAATTTCATTTAGCTCTATATCTCTTAATCTTCTATTTCCATTGCGATGTACTCAGATTGATGCAGAAACCTGTGTGCAATACAATATATTTGTTAGTATAATGAGGTTCTTATTACGAATTCTATGCAATTGCCTATTGCAACTGCCTCGGTGGTGTAGTGGCTAGCATGTACGGCTGCACACCCGGAGGTTCTGGGTTCGAGTCCCGGGTCGGGCCAAGTTTAGTTATTGAGTCTTTCTGTATAGTAAATCTCAGTAAGAGCCCGGAGTTGGGAAGTTGGCGGTGTTTTACCCCCGTGCCTCGGAGAGCACGTAAAGCCGTCGGTCCTGCGCCTTAACTCTCACTGGTCGTGTCGAGTGGTCGTCCCACCGGAGTATGAGAGTGACAGGAATAGAGAGTGCACGTTGTGTCTGAGCGTCCACGCGCTGCACTATAATATCTCCTGCGCAGTTGGCTAGTCTCAATAAGATTGGCCGCCGTGGCCGGAATCGGTCAGGAGAACATCATCATAACTGTGCAATTACAATTATTTTATTCATTGAATAATGTAGTGTTTGTACAAAACAAATATTTGTATAATCTATACCTACATAAAATAAAAATCTTAACTGAGTCAAATCTGTACATTAAATGTTTTTTGGAAAACTTATTGAAATAGTCATTATTATCGTTACAGAGGTCGAATCTAAAGTTTTTGGAATTTTTGTCTGTCTGGCTGTAACCGCATTACGTGAAAACCACTGGACCAATTTTAATGAAATTTGGTATCATGATAGCTGGTTATTCGGGTCAACTTATAGGATACTTTTTACTGCCGGAAAATATCGTATATCTGAGAAATCTATACTAAACCTTAAAAAGTAACTAGGGGCAAATCCGAGCGTCACAACGCGCACAACGTCGCGAACAGAAGTCACCAGTATGGAATATTTTAGAAATTATAAAACTATGCTATTTGATCGATATATTGTTAGAATTGTCTAAAACGAGGCTAACAAAGACGTTATAATACTAGCAAATTACGTCTTGCTTTACGTTCCTAATTCCTATGTCTATGTGTTATTCCAGGCAATCTATCTTTGCACTAAATTACATCCAAATCTGTTTAGCCGTTCATTGAGAAGGAGTAACTAACATACACACACACGTATTTTGTCTGTATAAATAATACATAATACACTGTATTTAGATTGCTCATTACAATTTTAGTTTAATTCAAAGTCCATTCAAGCGAGTATTCGCGTCGTATGACTTGTACAGTAATTATTTAGTGTGTACCTGTTTTGTAAATTTACAGAAGTTCATAAGCTCAGTTTCCATATATATTGCGAATGAAAAGATAGCAGAAATGACAAGTCATCCTTTTCTTCGTAATATCAAGATTGCGAGTAAATATGTAAGTGTTTGTATAGCTAAAGATATTTAATGTATCGATAATAATGATTATTTCAATAAGATTTTTCAAAAAATATTTAATGTACAGATTCCACTCAGAATTTTATTATATGTATAGATTTAACATATTACTGAATTATTTGTAAGAAGAAAGTCAACGCTCGACTATCGCAGACTATATCCCAAGTCTGCCTGATAACCTAATAGAAGAAGCGATAAATGAGCAAATAGAACACACTCGAGTTTCACAATTTGTATTGAACATCAAACACAGTAATTACTTGTAATTTAACAAATGACAGCTGTAACAATTGATTTGTAACATATATAATACAAGCGTTTGCCCGCGACTCTGTTCGTAGTTCACAAATAAAGCATTTCATACAAAATTCCAACCCTTTGTTTTACTTGTTTGGTTAAGATTTTCAAAAAGTCCATTATTAATGGATACGTATTCATTATGAGGAATCTATGTATCCGAAAAATTTCTACTTTAAACTTTCTAAGATTTTTTATAGTTATATTTTATATGAAGTTAGATTTTAAAAATAATACTTTCTTAGACTTATATGATTACTAGCGGACCCGACAGACGTTGTCCTGTCTACACGTCTTTAAATTGAAAATTTCAAACTTTTTTTAATAAGCTAAAACATTCTGGACCATTTTGATGAAAATTATTATTCAAATTGTGAATCTAAACCATTCCCAGATCCCCTTGAACACACAAAAAATTTCATCAAAATCGGTCCAGTCCTTTGAGAGAAGTTCAGTGACATACACACTCACAGAAGAATTATATATATAAAGATTTGACCTTTTAAATGAAACTGTCTTTTCGAATTTTTCTCATATTTATTTTGCTTATCTGTGTACTCAATTTCATCCAAAATCGTCCAGTCGATTTAGCGTAAAGGAGCCACAATATATGCATTAAGCACACACGTACAAACCTTCATATTTATAGTAGTACTGTGATTTTATAAATATTTAGTTTGTAAACATTATTTATCAAAGCACGTGCGCAAGTTAAATTTCAATCACGGGATCTTGTTTGTATGTCTTTACTCTGCGAACGTGCCATAATATAATATGTAAGTATGTACAATTTTATATAGGGTTGTTTAAAGTTCTTCTCATAATGTAATAATATATCAATATTTTACAATTCTGATGTAGTCTTCTATGCCATGGAAATCCTTTTCATAGGGTAAAAAGGGACAAACTTATTTTTTTTTCATATTAATAGGCGTTTATTATTAGCCGATTTCCTATAAAATTAATATGAAATCTTATAAAAATTGATAGAATCGAAAAATCTAAATAAGTAAGTATTAAAATAAAAATATTGATAATTATGATACTTCGAGATTTCCCAACAAAATAATCGTATTAATCTAATAGAAGTTATTTATTTATAAGGGGTCGTTCATGAAATACGTTCGCATACAGGGTTTTTTTTTGCTGAGTGTGAGAAGACCCCCCCGTCCCCCCTTATCACAATAAGGGGGGACGGGGGGTCTACGGCAACGTGATGTTCGCCATTCATTATTTTTCGACATGAGCGCTAGCTCTGTGGCGCGGCTCAGATACGTTTCAAATGATAGTACACAAAATTTGTGTACTATCTGTATATTTGTGACGAAATATTTCTAGAAAGTATGACACAGCGTGATAACGTGATATTAGGAGGGGAGGGGGTCAAAAACAGCTGATTTTAGCGTGATATATTTTATGAACTCTTAACAGATAAACAGCAAATATTTTGTTTGTAAGTATTCATAAAGTGTAATGAATAATAACATCGCAGTATACTTAGTATAAAACTTTTGCGTATCTCATTAATGCGAGTTGTACTGTATGTACATATATTTATATGCAAAAACACGTGTGAAGTCTTCGTGGGTGGAATCACTAAGCAGTTTGATATAATATTTGTTGAATATTTGCATATTATATAGGCTTTTATAGGTATTTAAATTGGTGTTATTTCTCTAAATTGCATGTGTATTTTCATTCCCTTTGCTCGATATGGCCACCGTTTTATATGGAATCATCTATAATAATATTATAGCAAAGCGAGGGTAAACCGCTAGCACAGATCATAGATTACTATACCAGTCGGTAGTAAGTAAATGCAAATCGTACTAAATGCAGTCTTTTGTTGACTGATGTTAAGAAATACCGTAGACCGTGCCGTAGATGTTAATTATATAGAATTTTAGTATCTATTATTTATTACTGTACATTTTTATGTATACAAAGTTTTTGGAAAATGTTATTGTATGTAGAATTAGGATCAAAGGAGCACAAAAGATTCACTTTCGATAGCGTGTCGAGTATGACAATAGATACAAAGCTGTTGTTTGACGGTCATTATGGAATCTTGCCAAAATAGCAAGCTTTGACCGACATATTTCTTAGAGTATTGACCGATAAAAAATTTAAGCTAACTACTGCAAAATAATCCAGAAATTTAACATGTCTTGCATTGTACATGTGTTTGTACAAAACAAATACTTTAATAGTTGTCACTCTGGTGTTATACTAATTTTGGCCGCAATTTTACACATGTTAGCTGTATTAAGTTTTATCAATAAATCGTCGAATATACGCCATATTGTATTAAATTGTTAAATCTTAGGTTAAAATGGAATTTATCTGATATGACACCAAAATTCAACTTTTAATTGAATGAAATGAAAATGTTATACGTGCCAAAATGAATAAATAAATATTGTGAGATATTAACACAGCACCACCTAGTTCCATGGTAAGCTACGAGGCTTATGTTATTGATACCAGATAGTTGATACACTACACATATATAACTTTAAATACATATATAACCATGACTGGAATACATTCGTGCTCATCGCACAAATTAATTCCAGCGGGACTGGAACTAGCGACCGCTGGCACAGCAAGTAGGGTAACACTACAAACTGAGCCAAACGTGTCGCCAAATTGCTAGAAATAGACCTCTCCAATCTATTTTTTTGAAAACAAAGTTAAAATTAGATAGTTAATTGTAATCACAATTATATAAATACTCAATTCTTTATAAACATGTACTTACCTAATATATATTACGTGCAGATAGATAGCTTCTAAATACAACTCTAACATTGCCTGTTTGACAGTCGATAAACTTTATATGTGGAGCTTAGAAGTGATGAAATTTTGCATAAGAAATTGATAAGATTATAATCGATAAGAATTAGATAGTGATAAGAGTTTTTATAGGCAAAAGGACCAAGAAGCAAATGATCACGATGTTACCTGATGCTAAGTGGCCTTTAAAGGATCTGAAGATACGACTCTTAAAGAGCCTCATATTATAGCTCTCAGGGAAAACCTACAGATGAATCATTCCACAGTTTGGATGGGTGAAGCAGATATGAACATGATGCGTACACATGGGATACCGATCATCTGGGATATGTGGACGGCGAAGCATGCGATAATACAAATGCAACGGTGACAATAGATTTAAAAAGTTCATCAGAATATTCTCTATTGAATATATTCTTTATTGCACTAAACAAGTAATAAAAACAATACATAGAAAATGACGTGAC